TTATACTGTATATCATAAAAGTATTTCCAAATAATTACAAGCCAGATATAACCAAGACTGTTAAAAAGTGAGAATAATTCTAAGAAACCAGAATTCCTAGTAGGATGATAATGTACCTACTGACTCTGAATATTGATGTTATTAAGACAAAGAAAGCTTCAGATGAACTTTGCCAGAGTTCATGCAAAGAGGAGGGCAAGTTTAAATTGGATTTAGAAATAACTAAGTGAAGGTAACAAAGTACAAATTATATGACCCCACTAGGGGGTCTAGACCAAAAGAACAGTATGACTATGGATTCGGAGACAAATTATCATCCAAAAATAATACATAATCTAAATTATTGATAGTTTAATTTATACTGTGATCCCATTACATACCAAAAGTTAACTAAAACTGAAGGACTTCTGCTGTGGAGAAGCATGTGCTTCAACTTGTTTAAAATAACAGAAGTCCTAACTGACTAGTTACATAAAATGATTTCTCAAACTCAGCAGACTGACAGGCTGGGACAAACATCATTGTTTAAATTTAAAGAACTGTGAATGTGTTTTCAAGCCAGTGTTAAGACCTCTGTTAAACATACGTGCTAGAAGATTGTAGAAGTAGGTGAAAAAATATTTATCTTCCAAGCCACAGAAATGTGTCCTGGTTGGCTAGTGCTGATGGCATAGCTTCTCCTTTCTTTACAGTTTGATGGTTTTACATGGATTGATAGAAGGTTTTATATCATGGCTGCTACTACACTCACCATTATTACTGGGAATTCTGTGGCAATACTACTGGACTTATGATCACAGACTTCTTTAATGTAATAGATTTGAGAGGAAAATGGGATCAGGCAGTGCTGACCCTTAGAGCAGTTTGTTTGTTGCATCCTAAACCTTTCACTATGTAAAACCCTTTGCTGCTCTTTCAAATGTTTGTTGGGGTTTTTTGGCTTTTCCTTCCTTTTTTTCAAGTCTACTCTAGGAAAATGTTATTTCAGCTTCATCTATCATTTATTATAAATTTTGGGGTTTACTCATAATGTTGACTATTTAATGTGCTGCAGTTTACAAGTTTGACCTCCAACTCGGATTCTGCAGAAGTAGAGATGCTAAGTGTGTCTGGCATAGTTGTGATAAAACAGCAACGTTAGTAAAACATACATACATTGATAACTCTAACTTGAAAGTAAAACAGATCCACACAATTATGATCTGCCACAGCAAATGGTTTAATTACGCATTCCATGTTGTGGTAGCCCCCATGTATTCATTCACATTCATAAATATTCCCTTCCTGTATATGACTATTTAACCACCATACGATTTGACTATTGTCATATGGAATGTTCTTTTTCTATAGTTTACTTGGAAAAACAAACTTGTATCTGCACAGATGAGTTACCGTAATACTATTGATTATTGTATAGTAGTGTTTTAACAGTGTACCTGAGCCTGCATCTGTTACTGTCTCTGCATTTCTACCACATCTAACAAACCTCCTAGAAATATCTTTTATAAATATTTTGAACACTAAAACAGGGTTATTAACCTGTCTTGTGACCCTTCTGTTATCTGTTACTCACTTATGACAAACTACAGTATGGTAGCCTTTTAGGGCCTCTGGTCCTTGGACCTAGTACTGGGCCACCGCTTGTAAAAATAATACTTCTGTGGCTATCAATCCACTCATACCTACTTTTTTACAAGGAAGGCACTCTTTACAGATTTGCAGAATGGCATCCTTATTCCCCTTTAAATCCTTCTTCTGTTATATCTAAGAAATTTGGCCATTTTCATCATTAATGCATTGCTACTTTGTGCTTTCTTCATTTATTTCTTCCTGTTGCACTTGGCTGTTGCTTCTAAACTTCTCTAGAAGTTCTTGAGGATAGGGTGGTTTTGGTTTTGTTTGTAAAACACTTGACAGCACTTTGTAATAAAAATACAAGAAAGTAAGCCATAGTGGAGGTGTCTCATAGGTGCTCCCTGGTTAGCAACCTTTTCTGAAAGAGCACGTACATTCTTTAAGCAGATGGTAAGTGTAAAATTTTATTCAAAGTTAATTATGTACTTGGAGGTTTTCTTGTAATGTTTTTCTTTTTTTTTCTTTCTTTTTTCTCTCTTTTTTTTTAAATAATACTTGCATGTAACTGATGCAACAAACTGTCCTAGACTTTTCATTGTTGAGCACTATCTTAAACAACAAAATCCATTCCAGGCAGCATAAAATTCCTCAGGAGACTTAGGACAATGGCTAGCTACACTGTTTTTTCCTGGAATTGGCTTTATTGTGGTGTTATAAGCTGCACTTAGAAACTTGGTAGCTGGTAATCACAGAATGTTTGACTAATGTTAAAGAGTTGCTGAGAATTGCCAATAAAGAGATCTGAAAGTCTGCAGCTGAAATCGCATATTCTGAGTGTTTACCCGTTTATTTTAAACGGGATCTGTGTTTCAGATAATTTTAGTGCAAACAAAAATACAACAGTAAGTAAACTGCCTAGACAACTGAGTGAAAGTGCGGTTATACAGCACAGTTCCTATGCTGGGACTACTGCCACCTCCATAAACTCCTCAAAGGGAAAACAGGTACTGTTTTGGTGAAGTACTTACAAGGCAGAGCTTCTGAGACTATTTCAAGTAGGTTGGCTAGAAACACTCTCTCCTACAATGATCTGCATGGAAAAGAGGTAATGGTGGGAAAAGAGTGAACGTCACAGTATGGAATTAACTACAAAAATGTACAACCAGAGAAAGCTACTACTGCCTGTCACAAAACTATCCTTTATAGTATAATGTAATTAAGCATATCTCACTGCATATTAAGAGAAGCCAATGCTTTGCACTATCTTAATGGTGTATGACTTCAACAAAAAAAAATTACCTGCCATACTTGATAGCTGTGAGCAGCAGTTTTTAGAAAGGTTTTTTTAAAAGCTGGGAACTACTTATGAATTAAAAAAATAAATAAAAATCAAAGTATTAGTACTGAGCTTAAGATTGTTTTTTTTAATTCTGATATAACATTTAATACATATAGCTAAGGGATTATAATGGTGTTTATTACAAAGTGAATTCCTATTCTTTCCATTCTATTTGTTGACTTACAATACCTTTGTTGTTATTGTTCATTATTTTCTGTCTGACATGCGTCTTTTGTTAACAATAGATGCACGCTTCTGTAGTCTGTTGTCATACTCCTGGTAGTCATCTTTCCCAGATGAAATAATTCTTCAACTTCCTCTTTACGTAATTTTAAAAAGCTTGTAACTTTTTCTGTTGCTGTTCTCTGGATCCTTTCAAGTACGGTGAAGCCCATTTTAAAGACATTATTTTAGCTTAAACCAATATGAACTTTGTAAATTTTAAGACAGTTTAACATCTGCTTTTTGTTCCTTTAATATTTACTGCTGTATCTATAAAGACTGATGCACATGTCTAACTTCAGGGATAGATTATTTTTTCTGTGATTCTCAGTGGTAAAATTTAAGCATGTACACAAATCTTGATTGGATTGTGGTATCAAAATACAAATGTAGAAAAATAAATGGAGGGAGAACAAAGGCAGATAACTTTGAAGCTCACTAAACTTACTTTTCCAGCTCCTGATTCATAACTGAGTTCTGCAAATGGCGATCTTCCTTGAGACTTTTGTGTGTCCTGAAGTTTTTTACATGAGCTTCTGATTCAGATAAAACCAAAGTGGCTCTTCCACATAATATCTGAAACTAATCAACATTTTACGGATTATCACTGACACCTTTGGAGTCACGCAGAAACACATATAAAGATCACACAAACACTTTTGAAACTGCACTAAGAAAACTGATATAAAGGTTGGAGCTCAAGTTCTCTGTGTGTGATTATAGAACAAGTAGAATCATAAAGTAGTTAGGGTTGGAAAGGATCTTAAGATAATCCAGTTCCAACCCCCCTACCATAGGCAGGGACATCTCACACTAAACCATGTCACCCAAGGCTCTGTCCAACCTGGCCTTGAACACCACCAGGGATGGGGCATTCACAACCTCCCTGGGCAACCTACTCTAGTGCCTCACCATCTTACAGTAAAAAACTTCCTCCTTATATCCAGTCTAAACTTCCCCTGTTTAAGTTTTAACCTGTTACCCCTTGTCCTATCACTACAGTCTCTAATGAAGAGTCCCTCCCCAGCACCCTTGTAGGCCCCCTTCAGGTACTGGAAGGCTGCTATGAGGTCTCCACGCAGCCTTCTCTTCTCCAGGCTGAACAGCGCCAGCTTTCTCAGCCTGTCTTCATACGGGAGGTGCTCCAGTCCCCTGATCATCCTCGTGGCCCTCCTCTGGACTTGTTCCAACAGTTCCATGTCCTTTTTATGTTGAGGACACCAGAACTGCACACAATACTCCAGGTGAGGTCTCACAAGAGCAGAGTAGAGGGGCAGGATCACCTCCTTCAACCTGCTGGTCATGCTCCTTTTGATGCAGCCCAGGATACGGCTGGCTTTCTGGGCTGCAAGCGCACACTGAAGCTGGCTCATGTTAAGTTTCTCATCCACCAGCACTCCCAAGTCCTTCTCTGCAGGGCTGCTCTGAATTTCATCTTTGCCCAACCTGTAGCTGTGCCTGGAATGGCTCTGACTCAGGTGTAGGACCTTGCACTTGTCATGGTTAAACTTCATAAGGTTGTCATCAGCCCACCTCACAAGTGTGTCAAGGTCCCTCTGGATGGCATTCCTTCCCTCCAGTGTATCAACCGAACCACGCAGCTTGGGTCATCGGCAAAATTGCTGAGGGTGCACTCAATCCCACTGTCCATGTCACCAGCAGAGATGTTGAACAATACATCTATACAGCTGAATTGGAGCAAAACTGGGGTGCAACTCTATGCACCTACAGGGAACTGGTTATTTTCTACAAAAGTTGATGCAAGCTGCTTATGGAGTATATCCTGTCCAGAAGTTAAATCATCCTGCAATGAATATAACATCTCTGGATCTTGTTATTTACAGAAACTGTTAAAAACACTGCCACTTGTGTGTCAATGCTGAAATGTTTTCTGTGTGTGTTACAGGATGATGAATGGTACTAAGAGAACTCCTCACAGGAAATACAGGATCTTCCAGCATACGGAAATGAATTAATGCCACTGAAAAAGTAGCTCTAAACTCACCTTTTTACTGAAGGAGAAAGAGAAGATAAATCCTTATGTGGGCTTTTTGCCAAACCAATGGGGGAAAGAGGGGAGACCTCAATTTCGGCTGTGTGCTTAATGGGTAAATTTATCTGATTTGAATTATACGAAATAATAGGTTAGTTCTATTCAAGTCTCATCCCAGACCCACCCCCCTTTTCCAGCCCTAGGGGAGGGAGCGTTAAATAATGGTCTTTGTAAACTGATGCCCATGCAGTAAGAGTTTGGAGGAGTGCTGCTTGTACAAGTTAACGCGGGCAGCGAAGAAGGAGCAACCAAATAAAAAGCAGCTGCAGGAGCAAAGTGGACCTTGCTGAAATTAAAAGACATGTCTTTCTTCACGAGAGTTCTGGCCATGAAATGCAAGCAGACGCTTGAATCCGAGGGAACTTCCTTCTACCGTGCGCTTTTTGCCAGCAGGTTTCACCAGCTGCCCAAACTTTCCAGCAGCCAGTCCCTGGAGGTGCAGAATAACTCCCCAGCGGCGGCAGAGAACAAAGGCGAGGCGACGGTGGCGAGCTCGGGGCGCGCAGGGGAACTGCTGGAGCCCGCCCCGCGCCGGCTTGGCAGGGTGAAGAGCCTGCACGAAATGCCCGGACCCAACACCCTCTACAATCTCTACGAGTTCTTCTGGAAGGACGGCTTCGGCCGCATCCATGAAATCCAGGTACAGTTTACTCGGCTTTTTAACGTTTTATTCACCCCGGGATTAAACTTTTCCTCTTCTCTCCTCACAAAACGTTGGTTAGACACCGGGTTAGCAGCACCGCGGCTATTCAGCGCCGCGTTCCCGCTGTTAGCCAGGAGCCGCGATGCAGAGGATCCCCCCATTCAATCTCCCTCTCCCGTAGCACTGGTAGGGTTTAGCGGTTTTGTTTCGGTGAGGAGCCTGTGAGCTCGTCCTGTGTGAGCCGTGTCGGCACGCCGTTCCCGGGACCCACGTCCCCTGTGCGCGGGGCGCCTGAGCTCTCCCTTTTGATCTTTATGCCTATTTTGGACTCTTAGGAGGTGTCTTAAGACTAAAAAGGGGGAAAAAAAGTCAATCCATATTTTTGAACTGGGTGGTTGCACAGACTTGCAGAGGGCTTACTTTTTGCGGGCAGATTTGGGAAATATGGGCTTTCCTCGGACGGCAGCACCCGCCCCGAAGGTGAGGCAGTGCCGGGCCGTTTCCACCCGGGACCGCCTCAGGCGTGCTGAGGCGCCGCCGGCCGGGCAGCGTGCGGGGGATTCCCGCCGCGTTCCTTCCTTCAGCTCAGTCCTTCTGCCTTGGGAGCAAGAGACCATTTTGTTTCTTCAGCCCTCGCTTCTGCCCCGGCCTCCCCTTACATAAATACACTTCATATATATAGGTCCCCGAAGGGGGCGGTATTTGCGCCTGGCCGCGCCGCTGTCAGCGCTGCCCGGCCCACGGCTGCCTCCCCACTGCGGGAGGCGGGCGGGCGGTTTGAAACCTCCCCCTGTGTGTGCGGGGGTGGACTCACGGCGGTGGCTGCCCGCGCGCCCCTTCCCCCGGCAGCCCCATTGGCTCGCGGTGATGGGGAAGGGAGGGCGGGAAGAGGGGCCCGATGGCGGGGTGAGGGGAGGGCGGCGGGCAGCTCCTGTCACCTGGAGCATGGGTCGCTCTGGAGAAGGCCGGGCGGGGTGCGGAGACGGTGAAGTAAATGTGAACGGGGGTGGGGGTTGAGAACTGTCCTCGGTGGTTTGGGCACTGCCGCCTCTGTGGTGGTGCACGGGCCACGGCGTGTACTGTCTACCTCAGCCGCAGCCGGCGAAGGGAGAAGCACGGCTATCCGTGCCTGGGGCAGCAGGAGCTGGTGACCAGTATCCTTCCTCCGTACAGCATTTGCTGGATGCTGGGATGGGTAACTGTCTCACTGCAAGGCTGACTATAACAAAAGATGATTTTTTGGTTGCTTGGCCGAACACGTGGGTTTCATTCCTAAACAGTCACAGTGCATCTCCTGGGGCCCTTTCCCCATGTAATCCAAGCAATTCTGAAGTGAGCACATGTGTTTGAGAGAGGAAAGCAGTGTTTCTCATCTTTTTGCAGTTGTGGATCCATAAAGCTTTCCACTGGCAGTACAGATCTCTTCAGAATACCTCAAACGTGGCATTTGTTATTTTGCTTTTCTTAGTGACCTTTCTCAGGTTGCGGGAAGCCCAAGAGGTTCACTGCCTGAAAATCACTGAAATAAAAAAGAGTGGCAAGTAAAAACAGAAAAGGGAAACCAAAGGGAACAGGACAGGACTTTAAATGCTTTGAGAATCAAAACTCAAAAGTTAGGATTTACAAAGGACCTAAAAACACCAGAAAGAGGCAGGGAAAAAAAAAAAAAGGTTGCTTGGTTCTGCCTGTCTGTTGCATTTACTATTTAGATCTACAAAAACAAGTGTTAAGCTCCTCAGTGCATGCTGTGTTTGATGAAAGCTAAACAAGATTGCCAATGATGAATTGCTCAACTTAATTGCTTACTAATCCAGGGACATGCAGATGAAAATTCATGATAGTTAAAGCTTTCTGTTAGTTTATGTTTCTTTTTTTCTCTACCTCTGTGGTGGTATACAGAATTTAAGAGGGACTCATCAGTCATAACTGAAAAACAAGCATACCAAGCTCCCCTAACTACTCTTGCATTCAATTTCTTTCACTGTCAGAACAGTGAAAATAATTCAAACTAGTAAAAGGAATGTAAGACAAACTACATAGTATATGCTTTTCACTACCACTAGCTCGTATGAGTATTTTCTTCTTTCATGAATATTATTCATAGAAAGGAAGTCAGGAGGAAGGGTAAGGAGGAGTTTGATACTGATTTTTATTCTGTTTTGAGTCTCAAAACTCACTTTACAAGTCATGAGTGCCCTGTTTGCATACATGCTGGATGCAAATAGGCATTATCCGGATTAATAACAGTCTGTTAAACTTAACAATACAGTGAACATCAGGAATGAATTAATCTGAACCCCTCTGGTAACCTGCACAGCTACTTAAACGATGTCCTTTGGTGTACACAAATATTTGTATGCTATATGCAGAAGGGGTGGAGAAGCTGAGCCCTTTTTCACAAAGGAGGTTCTGTTCTCAGTAACATGATTCCAGTTACTCCTGGCCAGAGCAGTAATGCCTACAGCAATTATGACAAAGGGAAAGTATTTTTAATTTGATGGGGTTATATCCCTTTTGTATCATCAGTGCTATGCAAGTATAAAGAAAGGTGAGGGGGGGAGGTTTGGATGCTGGCAGTTTGAATTTATGATGTGCAAAAATGCCTGGGGTGAGAGTGGTATGTGAGACATTAAAGTGTAATATTTTTAAGTTTTGGAACAAGGGGAAGAAAACCTATGTTGTGATAGAAAATATGGAAGAGAAATTCCTGTCATTTTTTTAAACATGAAATTGATGCACTGAATATCATTCTGTTTTAAAAGCAAGAGATACCCAAATATCTTGTCCTTGCCTTTTTCTGTTTTAAAATTAGTATTGCATTTATTTGATTGTATGGCTTCACCCTTGATTTGTTTTCTGTTAAAGTTCATCCTCACATGTAAACCTCACTGTTAGTGGAAAAACCAAGCTACTCTCTAAATAGCAAAATTTGTTGAACCTGATATTTTGTGACTGGTGACCCGTATCCCCCTCATTCTACTGCCTCTTCCTTGCAGCACTCATCTCCCAACTCATTGTTTCCTCTAAAGACTCATGCTCTCATTTGTCCTCAGGTTCAGTTTCAGTTTCTCTGAAGATACTTTGGGTTTTGGATGTGCTTGTTCACCTATTGGCATGCTTGTCTGCATGTGGTGTTTGGTTAGCAGCCAATCAAGCAGAAATGATAACAGTTGAGTTCCTATTGTAGCATTTCCCTTATCAGGGTGACTAATACATGTGTCTCATTTGAATCCAGGTGCTGATTTTTTAAAATGGTAAGAATATAGTTGTAGGAGACCTTTAACTCTCTGTTAAATTTGACTGAAATTGGCCATTGTGCTCCAAAAGTAGTAAAGAGGAGACTGGCAGAGACCACAATTGCACAACTCTTGTTTTATTTGGAAAATGGGGAGAAAATATATATATAATGCTTATACACATTTTATATAAGCACTTGGTACCATATGATGAAGAGTGATTAATGTATCTTAAACTTATTGTTGGCAATTAAAAAATTCATCTCTGTAACCAAGACTGATTAAAAAAATATTTCTTGTAAGTTAATCAAGGGTCAACAGTAAACTTTCACTAGTGTAGTTGTATCAAACTTCTTTGATACGACTGATTTATACAACATTTATTTACATTTATTTACAATCTGATGCAACATTTGATTTATAATCAGTGTTACTCTGCAAGGTAATGTGTCAAAGTTAAGCTTGGGTTGGTTTACCTTGTTTTGCTACTTTAAGCTGAAATAAAGGTGTTAAAATTTAAAGCTTTCTTAAATTCAAATTCCTGAGAATAGCTCTTTAGCAACTCCTTTTCAGTTTTGGGGGTTTTGCCTCTAAAATATTTATGTACCTCTACTCCAAGTGAACTCCTGGGAGTTGGGTGTTTCATTTCATTACCCATATCAGAATGAAATTTATTTGAAATGGTAAGATTTAACGGTACAGTTATAGTACAAATCTTACTGGAAAACTTTTTTTTTCAATACATAATGTTTTCTAAGCCTTAATTGCCTGTTTCTTGCCTCCAGCTTGAATTATGCAACTTGTACATCAGCCACTAAATAAACCTCACTGTTGGAATAAGACCTTAACTTCTTCTTCCTTTTGCAGAATTAACGTATGTCTAAGAAAATTGCTGATGACAGTGTTCCAAAATGCAGTTCTTCACTAGGCTGCTGTGCTGTCATAGTCCTTAGTTAGGTGTGAGAAACTTGTAAGTAGTTATTTGTAAAGAACAAATTGGTACACTAAGTATTTACAAAGGATGTTAAAAGTAAATTATTACATTTTTGTATTCTACTGTTCATTTCACCTATTTGCCTCCACATTTTTCATTTTCTCAGACATTCTTTCTAACCTGCTTGATCTGAAGGGACGTGTTTTTAGGTGCCCCAAGTCCTTTCATCTTCTTGGTATTTGGTTTCACTCACACTCGGTGCCTTACAGCTTTGGGTCTTTTCAGTCAGAGGTGTGACCTCTCTGTTCTCCTTGTGAATATTCCACATTAATGCTTAGATGCTTTCTGCTGACATTCCAAACCATTCATTGACTGAAAGCCTGGTGATCAAGTTCTAGAAGTCATAGATTGATTCACTGTATGACAAATTGTCAGTTTCCTTTTGTGATATTTTTCCTTAGTAATACTTTACTTCTGTTTCTCTGTTGGTGATATTGTAGCAAAAACACACTCAGGAGTATGGAAAGATCTTCAAGTCTCACTTTGGTCCCCAGTTTGTTGTATCCATTGCAGATCGAGATATGGTTGCTCAAGTCCTCCGAGCAGAAGGTAGAGCACCACAAAGAGCTAACATGGAATCCTGGCAGGAGTACAGAGACTTGCGAGGGAGAGCCACTGGACTTATTTCTGCGTAAGTGTTGCTACTCCTTCATTTTCTTTGTTTTCTTGTTAAAGTTTAGTGATTTTCTGAAGGACTCTACAGGTCATCTGGGAATTCAGGCTTTTCTGTGTGGGAAGAGGGTAAGAATTGACAGTGAATTGTCTGTTCTGCTGTAAATTTTGAAAGGGATGGTAATGATGGGTAGTTTGAATGTGGAGTAAGCTACCTTGCACAAAAGCATTCTTGAGGAATGCGTATCAACTAGAGCTGTCTGAGCTGACTCACTTGTAGCAGTACTGCAGAACAGGGCTTATTAACTTTGGAACAGCACTGTGCAAATGCGGTTTTACTGCTTCTAGACTGTTGCATCTAGTTGTCAGTGTGCTCTCTGGACTTGTTGGCTCAGGTTGGCTTTAGCTTTATTGTTCTTTGAACTACCCCCTCAGTAAATCAATGCAGAGGAGTCACTGCATGGTAAATTCACACTATAGTGCATCCCCATGCAGATATTTTTGAACATGGCTGATTCTAGAACTTTTCTGTCTGTAAAGCTTACATAAATTGGCAGTGCATGTGGGTGTGGTTAGTTGCCACTGCAAACTACTCCTCATCCCCACTTATTTAGGAAGTTTGTTTAGAGGGAAACTAATTTCCAGAGCCATGTACAGTCTGTTTCTTTACTAGCAGGAAAAGTCATTATGTGTTGCACTGCAGACTCAAATCTTCAGTGCAGTTCAGAGTCAAACTAATAGTTCTTTATATTTTGTTAGATGAGATCTTAAATCAAGAGAGTCAGAAAGTGTCTGCTAAAGAGATTATTTTGCTGGTCAGTAAGTACCTTGCAGCAGCATTGCTCCAGGTGAAGGAAAAAAAAAAAGGAGGGGGGGAATACGTGGCAATTTAAAATAAATGCATAAAAGGCAAGTGCCTGTCTTAATAAGGAATGGAAAGGTATCTCTGGAAGCACTGTTCCCAAATACTCTGCTTATACAAAGCATGCAGAGGCTGAAATTCAGGTTTTTAGTCTTCAGCACAAAGATTTTGATACATAGCTCAGCTAAAGGAGAATCTAGCTGTAAATTGTTTCCTTATAGCTGGGTCTGCTATCCTATTACTTTGTAGGTTTAGAATTAGGGTACCTGAAAGTGATGTATCAGAATGGTACTAGATCAGATCCTTCATTTACCAAATCTGAATGTGTTACCTGTCTTTGATAATTAAACACCAGTTCTAGGTAGAAACAATTTTTTGGTTTGTTTGAAACATTTTAAATAAACATTTTAATAATTCAAATGTTTAAGTAATTTTAATAAGCAAATTTTGCTAATTTCTTGTGTTAACTGCTACTAAAATACTGATACAGAGGCACTTGTCAAAGTCAAAATACTGTCACTGAAACCAGAGACTGACTTGCACCTGTACATACATGTAGCAACACTGAAATTTAATGAGGATATACAATAAATACATCATAAAACTATAGCAGCATAATACCAAGTACACGTGATAATAATTTTCACCACTTGCTTTCATTTGACATGAAAAATCATAAATGGTTTCATTGAGAAGCTCTTATGCAGCTGATGATTGTTAAGGAAAATTGTGTATAGACATTATTAATAATCTCTTCTAGGGAGGGGGAACAATGGCTAAAAATGAGAAGTGTACTGAGGCAGAAAATTCTGAAACCCAAAGATGTGGCTGTTTACTCTAAGGGAGTCAATGAGGTAATCACAGACTTAATTAAGAGAATCCACACCCTCAGAAGTCAGGAGGACGATGGGCAAACAGTGACCGATGTTAACAACCTTTTCTTCAAGTATTCAATGGAAGGTAAGCCCAGTCTGTATAACATTTTTTTAGGCATTTTTGGCAAATGACTAGTGCCCCTTTGTGATTAATCTGAAAAGGGAAGCTTGATATTCTGCTTTCAGATGTCTTCCTACTTAGTACAGCAGTTATCAGTAGAATTCCTTTGTAGACTCCGAAGAGATGATACCTTGTAGAAAGGGTTAATTCATGTGGAAACGCTGGCATATAGGTAAAATGTGCAATCAAGGTCCTGAGCAGTTTCGGTACTCTGTATTTCTGTATTAATTTTGCAAGAATAAGGGTGCTAACTTTCTAATTGTGAGACTTTGAAGACATTTTAACAACATACTAGCCAAATTCCAGGTGGAGAATCACTGTGTGATGGATCTAAATTCTTTTTATAGCTTAATGTGGGAAAAGATACTGCTTTCGAATGCTTACACATGCCAAGTGTAGGGTTGTTATGCTTGCTTTAAAGTCATCTGCCACTAGCTACCATTAGTGAGGGAATGCTAAATGGAACTCCAGCCTGAGCTATTATGGCATTTCCTGTGTTCTTACAGAAATCTTAATGGTTATTCTCTTTCATGCATTCCTTTAACTGACTGCATAGAACCTGATCTCGTTACATGTAGCGCCTTTTAAAAACATAGGTACTCTGCTGACAGGCAGCTGAATCATTTGGGCTTTGTACGAACTTCCAAATTGCTCATTTATGAAGATGGTGTATCAAATTGGTGTCTGCCTTTGGTAAACTAAACTGAGTCTGTTCTGCATTAATAATCTCTAAAAATGGCATTAAACTAAGATTTACCAACATCATGGAATTTTAAACTCTTGAGCTTACAGATTCACTTTAACTGATGGGTTGGTTTAAATTCTTTGCATTCCTTTAGCTTTTCATTTATAACTTGTGCCTGGCACGCACTTATTTCCTATATGAATTGTGGTTTTAATTAACTTACGCTGTCAAATGTTCAGGGAACCAATGTGTAAGATTTTTTTGAAAGGACTGTGTAAAGAGCAGAAGAATGCGTAAGAGCTAGCAGTTGCTGAAAGAGGCACAAGAGAAATAAAAGGCACAGAAAAATAATCTTCCCAGGGAGAAAAATTAGAGAAAGAAAAGTGGGTTGAAAATAGCCAGATTTTAAAATTATTTTTGTCTCTAAAGAAGAAATACAAAGCAAAGAACAGGGAAAATGGAAATTTTCTGAAAATATCTACATGTATATACACTCGAGAATTTATGGAGAGTTTGATGGAGGGGAAGAGCAAAGTAAACCATCATTATCTATTGTACTCTGTTTAGCTGGGGCTTTTTACTGTTCTAAATTTCATTTTATTTGCTCCCAACTGCAGTAATAATAACTAAATATTTTTGGAAGGTAGTTCAATTATGTTAGCATTTTAATTCCTTAAACTACTAAAATGTATCTATGTATGTGTATAGCAAATTCTTTGATTTCATATGTACAGGTGTGGCAACTATTCTGTATGAATGCCGGTTGGGCTGCCTGGAAAACCACGTCCCGCTGCAGACAGTTGAATATATTGAGGCTCTGGAGTTGATGTTTAGTATGTTTAAGACCACTATGTATGCAGGTGCTATTCCCAAATGGCTTCGTCCACTTATTCCAAAACCGTGGAGGGAGTTCTGCAGATCCTGGGATGGACTCTTCAAATTTAGTAAGATTTAGTAGTAGAAAAGTTCAGCTGTATTTCTGCAGGTTTTGTGTGTTTGGACAGGACTTGCTGCATTTCTTTTCTAAAATTCTAGGAATACATTGTGGCAAAAGTAAGTTTCACATTAAACACAGACTGGTCAGAGGAACCACTTAAAAACCATACTCTATTGAAAAGAAAATTTACTGGTACACTTTAAATATTCCCTATTTTATACTGCTGTTTCTTTGCTTGTCTTCATCTGTTCCATCACCCAGGCCTTACTCCAGGTTTGAGTTCTTTGCCAAGACTTTATCTTAAGCCACTCAGATTTTAATGAAGGTAGTTTTGTTGACTTCAGCAAGTTTTCAGTCAGCTACTCTGACAAATAATCACCACTAAAATTAACTAGAAAGTTAAAAAATTAGACTTTAGCAGTTAATTACACTCTTTGCGAAGATTATATGTCTACTGTACAAGCATATAAGTTGGCATAGAAGTATACTGCTATACTACAGTATTTTTTTTGGTAAATAAAGCATTCCAGGCTACTTTATGAATCAGCTTTCATGTAAGAAGAAGAACTTGTCTTTGCAATATTTTTTTTTCTTTTTAATATTTTGGACCCTCTTTCTCTAATGTTAGAAAGCTGCATGTATTTTTAATTTTATTTTATTAGCACTATTTGTCTAGTTAGGTCTGTGTACACCTTCCTGAGGTCAGATTCTTTAGTTTCTTAACCTTTAGTACACCTAGTATGCTTATTTTTTAATATGTATTGCTCTGTACATGTAGTAGGCATTAGAGATTTAAGTGTGTTTTCTGTGAACTGTGTACGTTTTTACACTGCCACTTTTACATTATTTCCCACAATAATGTACTCTTGTTCCCTCTTACGGGTTAAAAATAACAGGAGACTTCAGCTTTGTCCTAACAGTGGCTGAAAAACTGTTCTTGAGGAATTTGTTCCATTTGAAACTTGTGATGCTGTTTCTTTGTTGAATCCCTTTCTGAGAAAGGAATCAAATGGTGAAAATCACTATGTGATATGTGTGTATTTGTGTAGGCTTCACAAAGGACCATATTAATTCTAGTTCCTTATTTTGTAAGTTCATTCTGTGAGGCATTAAGTTTCTGAGGGTTTTTCCTGTTTTTAAAGCCCTTGTTTCACTGAAGATGCTATTTGTAATCATTGAAGTATAAATGGGATTGTGGGTGAACTTGTTCAAAGTGTCATTCACTGATGTTTTTCAGTTTTTGTTATTACTTAATGCTCCTCATCTTCAGTGTAGTTCTGTGGCTTTGACCTTCTGGTTGCAGCTAACATCTTGTAGCAGCTTCTGTGTGCTGAGTTACAGCATGCTCTGCAGAGTTCACCACTTCTAGCAGGGTCATCAGAAAACAAGCCAGGTGGGCAGAAAGACTTGACCTTCAGCTTCCTTCATTCCCTGTCAGAAGCTATAGTCTCCTGTGTCCTTTCTTTGCACTCAGCATTCTCATGCTGTGAGCTACCTAGGTTCCCGTCAGCTCAGTCTTTCCTTACCATAAGTACCCAGTGACCTCCACCACTACTCTGTTATCTTTTCCTTGAGAAAATAGATTAATTTATTTTATTTTTATAGGTAGTGTAGCATAAGGGAGAAATGTTATTACTGTCTGAAACCAGCAGAAAAATAAAAATGGAAGCTTAATTATTTTTTTTTTTAAATACCAAAGGTCAGATCCATGTTGACAACAAATTGAAGGCTATTCAGTCTCAGCTGGATCGAGGAGAAGAAGTGAATGGTGGGCTACTTACATACCTCCTAGTGAGTAAGGAACTTACTTTGGAAGAGATCTATGCCAATATGACTGAAATGCTTCTGGCAGGAGTGGACACAGTAAGCTTGTTACCATTTTTCTTGTGCACAGTTGTTTTCAAATCAGTACCATTTGCAGCAGTCTTCAGGGGGCTTATGTTGTTTATAAGGACATAAATTCTGACACATTTAAGTCATGACATTTTTAAAGTGGTAGAAAATACATCACTTTGTAATCTCTCTGCTGGAATGAAACTGGTGTTCTGTTCTAGCTAGGAACCCATCACTTTGGGTTCTGCAGTTTCTTAAACAGATAAAATAACAATTGTTTCTACACTGGGCTTGAATTTCATACATTTTCTTGTACTAGTTTGAATACTGGGTTGGTATTTGTGCTTCTTTAGGTAGACCACAATAAAAAAGGCTGCTGAGAGTTAGTGTGAAAAAAATTGATCAGTAAACTTGTAGGTAAAATTTGGTGAAGGATTTTCTTGTGTGGCTAATTAAATCAACTGAGGCACATATTATGGATTGGCTCCTGGGTTCTATTGAGGTTTATTAGGAGGTGGGTGTTATACAAGCACTAATGTGGATAAGGCATAAGTTTACCCATGCTTGTGTTGGCAACATACAGTCAGTCTGAGGCAAAGAGCTGTGGTAACAGGGCTCAGTACTAATGAGGCTAGCATATGGAATATGTTAACACCTAGTGAAGCATTTTATGTGGCCATCTTTCCTCATTCTTCTGATTTGTCATTTAGAGTATTTGAAGAAATATTAAAGTCATGTATGTATGTTCCCTTCCTCTCGTTCCTGTCATGAGTGTAGCTTGGTATTGACTGCAGCATGACAATCAGAAGAATGAGAAAGGATAAAAATGAGTTATTGTGTTGTATACACAATGTATACAGAGTTATTCAGAATATCAGTGAATATTGTAAATGATTGTAACTGAACAAATTTTTAAAGTGTACGAATTTGATAAAGAAAGTGCTATGTAGGACTGTTTAATAGTCTTACAGTAGAAAAGTTTAAAACTAGTTAAAAAGTAAAGTAGCCTTAAAGTAAAAACCCTCTCTGGATAACTGAAATCAGATTTTTTTTTGATTAAAGAAAGTTTATTAAAAAAAAAAAAAGTAGTACTTTTGAATTCCAACGTAAGGAGCATATGTAAAACTTATTTATGTGCTGAAGATTGTTTCATTGGTTAAATATCCCAAAGGGCTTATGAGTTTGGAGAGCTTTTTGATGTTTGGTTCTCAAGTAAAGCACAGTTATTCATCCCATTCATTTTCTAGTATTTCATACATTAATCTTCCATTCTTAGTGTGTGACAGAGTTTTCATTAAACTAAGAGGAAAAGGTTCAAGTTCATGCCAACAACTTTCCCTTTCCATTTGACTCAGCTTTCTCAGCCAGCAGATTTTTTTTTTTTTTGTGAGAGAATGGTACTTCTGATTTCCTCATTTTCAAATGCAAGACTGAAACTGAGGGAATCTTTTCCCCTACCGCTGTCACTTCAGTTCTCATTTTATCATGGAAACTGAAAGAGGTTTAGAGGGTTATAAAAGCTTTCAACAAAATTGTAAGGCAGGTTTTAGCTACAAAGCCTTTTGGCTGTCCCTGGAACAGTGCTAATTTTTAAGAGGTTATGAAGGAGCTGGGAACCTGGGAAGAAACAGTGTTTTTATCAGAGTTCTGTATACAGCTGGCACAATTGCCAGCTCCTCTGAGGTCTGAGAGGAATAAAACAGGGTTGCATTTTAGAAAGGGACACTCAATATTGCAAGAAGAAAAAAAGAAAGGTTCTGAGAATGATACTTCTAGCATTTGTTTGAAGACAAGACATGATGAATTTGGATTCTAAATTTTTCTTAGATATAAGCCCAAAATAGGGCATTTCAGGAAGTTGGTGTTTTTATCCATACATTGTTTATAGCCTGATGCTTTGTTGTACCAATGAGTGAGAAGCTGAAAATAAAGCTGTTTCACTTTCTACATAGGAAACTTTTTGTCTCTCTTCATTGTACAAGTTGAAAAAATGCACTTAAAAATAATTCAAAAAAAATGTGGTAGAAGTTACAGGTTTTCCGTCTGAAATGCTGCAAAAGCATGGAGCAGATCCTCCTGGAAACTGTGATAAGGCACATGGAAAATGAGGTGACAGCCAGCATGGCTTTGCTAAAGGCAAATAGTGTCTGACAAATTTGGTGGCCTTTTATGATGGGGTTACAGCATTGGTGGATAAGGGAAGAGCAACTGACATCATCTGTCTGGACTTGTGCAGAGCATTTAAAACTGTCCTGCACAACATCCTTGTTTTTAAATTGGAGAGGCATGGATTTGATGGATGGACCACTCAATGGATAAGGAATTGGCTTGATGGCTGCACTCAAAAGAGTTATGGTCAGCAGCTCGATGTCCAAGTGGAGACCAGTGTTGAGTGGTGTTTCTCAGGGGTCGGTTCAACATCTTTGTCAGCAATATCAACATTGGGATTGAGTGTGCCCTTAGCAAGTTTGCTGATGACACTAAGCTGTGTGGTGGTGTCAACTCAGTGAAGGGAAGGGGTGCCATCCAGAGAGATCTTGAGAGGCTTGAGTGGTGGGCTGGTGCAAACCTCCTAAAGTTCAACAAGGCCAAATACAAGGTCCTGCCACCTGGGTTGGGGCAATCCCAAGCACAAATACAGGCTGGGCGGAGACTGGATTATAAACAGCCTTGAGATGCTGGTTGATTAGAAGCTCAACATAACCTGGCAAAGAGCACTTGCAGCCCAGAAAGCCAGCTGTATCCTGGGATGCATCAAAGGAGCATGACCAGCAGGCCAAGGGAGGTGATTCTGCACCTCTGCTTCACTCTCATGAGATCCTAACTGGAGTACTGCATCCAGTTCTGGGCCCCCAGCATAAGAAGGATATGGATCTGTTGGAGCAAGTCCAGAGGAAGGCTACAAAGATGAGGGCTGAGACACCTCTCTTATGAAGATAGGCTGAGAGAATTGGGCTTCTTCAGCCTGGAGAAGAGTAGGCTCCAGGGAGACCTTACAGCAGCCTTTCAGTACTTAAAGGGGGCCTACAGGAAAGCTGGAGAGGGGCTTTTCCCAGCATCATGTAGTAATAGGACATGGGGAACTGACTTTAAACTGAAGGAGGGTAGGTTTACATTAGATATTAGGAAGAAATTCTTCACTGTGAGAGTGGTGAGGCACTGGAACAGGTTGCCCAGAGAAGTTATGGATGCCCCATCCCTGGCAGTGTTCAAAGCCAGGGTGGAGGGGTCTTTGAGCAACCTGGTCTAGTGGAAGGTGTCCCTACCCATGGCAGGGGGATTGGAACTGGATGATCCTTAAGGCCCCTTCCAACCCAAACCACTCTATGGTTCTATGAAGTTACTAAGAACAATATAGGTAAGGAACAGAATGATTGCATTGTCACTTTGCCATAACTACTCAGGAACACTGAAAATACATTTTCATGGTAAATTTTCTGTCTTCAGTGATAGTTGTGAGGGAAACAGGATCAAGTAAGGCTATTTGCTTGACCTTAATGTCTGGGTGCAAGTGACAGTAGAAGCAAAGTGTCCAGAGTCTGTCTAGTATTTGAATGGGATAGCCTGAGAAATCCATGTAGCTTAAACAGAGGGGACTCATGGTTAAAATAATGGTAAATATTGTATCACTGTACTTATTTCCATGTTAGTACAGATGGAGTGCATGATCTCAGAATGTGTCCTAAACCACAAGTGTGCATTGAAGTGCAATCTTTCCAGCTGAGGTGAAAGAGGATTAGATGATGGGCTCCTTTAAATTGTCTTGTGCTCAGAGTTGAACTGTCTCCTGCCTTGTGTCCCATTTCTTCCTTTGTAAAAATATTTTAAAATTATTTTTCACACAGTACCTCTCTTCTGGAGCCTTGCTAATTATTCGCATCATTAGTTAGAAGGGGAGTGTATTTTAACATCTTTGGGGCCACTTTGAATATATAAGCTCTTCTTCAAGCTTCCTTAAGAAAGCTGTCAATAGGATGCTGAATTTCAGTCAAATGAGAATTTTTGTGAGGTAGAAAGTGCTAGTTATGATATAGCACTGCTTACCAAAGGATAAGGTATAATCTTAGTGATAATATCAAATCTGTTGTGTGGAGGCTAATAGGAGACCACCATATGCTTAAAAGGGTTTGGTAATATTCTGAGTAGTATTCTCTTGATTCCTGTGTATTGTCTTGCTTCCTGTGAAACAATTTTGTTGGAAAGAAAGGTGAAACAAATATTGAAAACTAACAGTTAACTTAATCCATTTTTGTTTAGTGTTCATGTAGTTTTGATTGCATTTGTTTTTTCTGTTGCTTTTTATATATCACTAGAAAAATATCAGCATGGATTGTTTTGGTATGTGGGCGATTTTTGGATGGAAAAAAGATGAAGGAGTGCTGGTGATGTCTGACAACATCTCATTGAGTCCAGATATGAATCATTGCCAGTCTGTTTTATAACCATAAATTTATGAAACACATAGTTGAAAACTGGTTGTTTTTCTTGGCTTGAAGTTATTCTTAAACTAGTCTTTTTGAACTTGATGATGGTGGTTATGTGCTTTCTTCCTTAGACTTCTTTTACTTTGTCCTGGGCAACATACATGTTGGCGAAGCACCCCAAGGTTCAACAATGTGTTTATGAGGAAATAGTCCATAAAGTAGGGAAAGACCAAGTTCCTGTTGCTCATGATATCCCAAAATTGCCTTTGATTAGAGCTGTGCTGAAAGAAACCTTGAGGTAAGTAGGTAGCCGACAACTATAACCATTAATTAAAAAAATTAATTCCATGTAGCTGTAGTGGATTTTGAGTCCATACTAACATTTGTAGTTGGTTTCTGTTACTGCTGTTTGCTGCTTCTGCTTTTATTTATTGTATAAGTATTGTGTCCAAGGATGCCTAAGCAATGAAATATGTTCAGTTGTATAATGTTTAATGTTTTTAGTGTGACAGAAGTAGTATGACATATGTAAGACATGTCTGTTAAGGTAAGTAATTGAAAGCTAGGTTTTTGCTTCTTGATTTAAATTGAAGGCTTGTGACTTACTTTTTTAATGTTTATACCAAACGTTCATAGTGAGGTTAGGGCAGTAAGAGGACCTTAGGAAAGGCATCAATAAGGCTTTTTCACCTCCCAGTAGTGCTAAAACATCTCTAGCTTGACAAGTTGATTGCATTTTTTGTACATGTGTAAAGAAAATAAATATACAGGCCAAACAGCTCAACCTCCAGTTATTAGTAATAAATTTTCTCAGGTATTAATCACATTCTCAGAGATGATTCAAGGCTTTTGAACCTCCAAGGTGTTCTGTACTTTTGAAAAACCTTTTTGCTGTGAATGTATATTGCATTCATAATGCATATTTGCAAATGCAAATTGGAATCTAAACTTTTAAAGTTGTATTTAGATATTATTTCTCATAAATATTTATCTCTAGGTTATATCCAGTATTGCCAGGAAATGGAAGAGTGACCCAAAAAGACTTGATAGTTGGAGGATACTTGATACCTAAAGGGGTAGGTTCTATTGCAGTCCTCTCCAGAGAACACAGTTTATTTTTTGTGTATGAAATGTGATTTTACAATATATATCCGCTTAATTGATTTCAAATGATTTCACCAAGTTAGAGCATTAAGAGGAAAATATTTTAATAATAACCATTTATATGACAAAACCGGATTTTATAATTGACTTTGTTGATGCTGGGTTTTTTAGGTTTGTCCTCATGACTTGTTTTTAATATTCCTAAGGGTGTAGTCTATTAACTTCTCTGTGCGATGTTACAATTTCATTTAAAAAGCATTAATTTCATTATTCTTGCAGTTTTCTAATTCTTTTCCTTTTAATTCCCCTTGCAGAAAGAGTTTAATTTCCTTTTAAAATTATGAATCTTTTCCTTATACTATTGTCACAGTTTAAATCCAGCAAAGATTGCACAGAGATCATGGTAGAACGGTATGGCTCTATTTTAAGTGGCAGCATTCCTGTTAGAGCAATGTAGCTTTAAATCAGTTAGGATTCTTAATTCTTAATACAGTTATTTAAGTATTATTCCACACAGATCCTTCTAAACACCCCCCCCCCCCCCCCCCCCCCCCCCAATTAATTTGGAAACATCATCACATCAATTATTGCTGTTCTTTTTCCTGAGGTGGTGTGGTGTTTTTTCCTTCTCATCACCTATTTTTTTTTTTACTTTTCCATTGTCTTGTATCTTTTCCCTTCCTCTCATACTGAGACAATTCCCAGTACTTGTGACTTTTGTTCCCATCTCCTTCCCTACTGCATCTTCTCTAATGTATCCAGCAACATTTTAAACAATTTGAAGCTTATTTCATTCAACCAGGTGAGAATGTGATCTGATATTCCAGGTATCTGGTTTTTCTTCTAGAATTACTCAAAAATACTTAATATTTATCACCTCATATTGCAGGAATGGCATTAATTACAAATACTTTTGTATTTTGTTATATATATTGGAGTTAGCTAAGTATAAATACGATTTATTTCCTCAGACGCAGCTGGCACTCTGTCATTATGCTACTTCATACAGTGAAGAAAATTTCACAATGGCAGATGAGTTCCGACCTGAGCGCTGGCTGAGGAAAGATAACTTTGACAGAGTAGACAATTTTGGTTCCATCCCCTTTGGTTATGGCATTCGAAGTTGCATAGGAAAAAGAATTGCAGAGTTGGAAATTCATCTTGCATTGATTCAGGTTAGAACTATGTGACAGCATTACAAGAAGAAAAATATATTGGTATGATTCTTTTCTATGTATACCATTTCTGGATATCTTACAGTGCTCAAAAACTTTGTTTTTGAGTGTTGTTTAATATACTTATCCTGCAAAGGATGCTTGAAATGTGACATGCTAGTTAAACTACATTGCAGAATTAAAAATCCTTATAGTACAAATAAAGGTAAGATTTTTAAGGAAATATATAGATTCAGTATAGAAAGTTTTTGTAAGCAAATTTGAAGTCTTTCTTAATGTATACTACAATTATCATCTGCTCAGTTTCAGTATTTTAGTTATGAAGAATTTACATGAAGTGGTTTTTATATCCTGTAATGACCACAGTGTAATGACAAATAGTAGAATTTTCTATGTTCTGTGGTCTTCTGTCCTTTCTTGTTCTTTCTTCTAACCTTATTATTGCTTTGGATATACATAATTTATAGTTATATAAGTAGTTAGTATTTACATATATATATAGTTTTCCATTGCTTCATATCATAAAGAAAGCTTCGCAACAGCTGCTGCATTTTTTGTCATTTAGAAGACACCATTTAATGCAAATACTGAGCTCAGATTGTGCAAAAATTTGGAAACTATTTATAGTTACTTATCTATAGAAATATTTAGACCATTATATGTATTCAAAGCAAAGCTTGATTGAATTTACCTTAGAATTTCCTTAAGTAAACTCCTAGGGCAATCTCTGAACAATTGTCTGTCTTTTGGAACTCACAGTGAGATAGCTCTCAGGGGGCTGGATAAAACAAACATACTTGCTTCTTTTTCAAAAGGAGTATCAAGGAAGTAATAGTGAGCCTGCTTTTGTTTCCTGGAAAGAAGCTGGAATAAAATAGCACAGAACGTATTTACAAGCATTGAGGTACTTCAGGAAGTATTTTCCATGTCTTATACATTGTTCTCATAATTAAATTAATAAAATTTGTTCCAGATGGAAGTACCTATAAAATGCATGCACAACTAATTAGAAAAAAGAAATAGCTGGAGGCAGCAGCTGTTCCACTGGGAAAGCATTTTATTAAAATTTTGTAAGACTGTCCTGCTTTTGATTTAGGTTGGTATTTTCATTAACAGTGGAAATGATGGATTAGAGAATGCTTTTAGTGTTTGCATAGGATACCAAGCTGACATAAATGAAGTTAAAGGAGATGAATACAGAATTATGAAAAAATGGAGAAATGTTCCAGAATCAACACAAAATTGTTCACTAAGAAAAGTTGCAAGTTACTGCCTGTAGAAGAAATCAGTTGCATAACTACAAGTTGCTGACTGTGGGTAATGAGTACCACAGAAACAGACTTGAGGGAATAGTAAAAAATCTGTCAGCGATAATTATACTAATTCTGACGAAGCAGTGTAATTCTTGGGTATATTAACGGTATTAGCAAGCATGTTGTATATCAGAAAGAGGAGTTAAATTACTCAGTCTTAACAGTCTGACAAATCCTTGGCTAGATAATGATACACAACTGAAATTGTGTGCTGCATTTTAAGGACAGCATAGTAAAACGGGGGGAAGACTGAGAGAATAAGAAAGATGAGGGGCTTGAAAAAGAGAAGAATGGGATGAAAATTTCATCAAAGACATAACACTAAAAGATAGTTATATATATGAAAATAACACATTGCTCATCATGCTTACTAGAAGGATAAGAGAAGATTGCTTAGTGTACAGGACAAAGTGAGAGTTGGGAAAAGTTGAGGATGTTATGGTATCTCCTTCTTGAAGGTTTAAAAATAGATAGCAGTTATTCTATGCTCAGCCTCAGGATGAGTGAGAAAGATCTCTTGAAGTTTCTTTTAGCCCATTATTTCTCCGATTTGCAATTGATTCTCAGTTTTGTTAAGTGTATGGAAAAATAGAATTTTAATGTACGGAGAGCCTGGATGATTGAATTATAGTGGTTCTGTTCAGGAGAGGCTCTAGTATTTGACTTCCTGAACTATGATTGTTTTATTTGGTGCACTGGACAGTTGCTGCTCACGAGGTTTGAAGAGATCTCAGTTTCTTTGATAGCTCAGACTGTTTAATCTGGTTTTGTGGAAATTCTTCAGAAAGGACTGGCTCAGTCCTTCCTCAGTCAAAGGAGGAAGATTTTTAACTGTAATCTTCACCTTCTAACAACCATTTTTTCTGTGTGGGAATCATAGCACTTAAGACTCCACAGAATTGGCAACAGAAATATTGTTTATGACAGTCTGTTATGTTCTCTTCTCCAAAGTCTAATCTTCGTAATTCTGCAGCTTTTGTAATATTTGTCCTGTTTATTTTCACAGTTGCTTCAGAATTTTGAGATCAAAATTTCTCCCAAAACTGAACCAGTTCATGCCAAAACTCATGGACTTTTGACTCCTGGAAACTCCATCAATGTGAGATTTTCTGACAGAAAGTGAGACTCCAGTGTTTTGGAAATACTTGTATGATTTTTATGGGAACAGACTTGCATCTTATGGATGTTTAATTATACTTGTTCTATGGTTTGTATTGGCAAAATGGTCAAGGATTATGTTCTGCCTTAGTACTAGCAGTACATAAGAGAAATTACCTCTTCTGTAATAATTACACATATGAAAACATATAGTGAAAAAATTACTTCTGCACTGGGTATCTGCCCTTACCTGGAAAGATTCCTAGTAACAGCAACATATGCATTGAGAAAAAAACCAACCAAAATTCAGTCCTATCATTCAGTGCTTTTGTTACACTGCTTTGTCATGAAAGTCAGTTACTCGGTGAGTCTATTTGCGAGCATGCGTTTTAGTATATAATATGTGAAAATTAGTTGAGTTTGTGTTTCCTTGTTTCTTGTCCTCCCATGTTTTTTAAAGGTTTCCACCTAACATTGAAATTCTGAGATCATTTCTCTCTTGTCTGTAGAAACATTTACCTCGTGTGTATTAAAAAGTTAATACAGTAATATGAAAAGTAAAGACAGAAAAAATAAAATTCATGTCAGTTTCTGGTTAGGCTCAAAATACAGAACAATTGAAAATTTATCCAAACATAATCCCCATGAATGTTTCTATATAATTAAGAAAAAAAATCTTTAAAATAAAAGCTTAAGTGTCACATTGTAGAGTTGTGAATCCAGACATTATTCTCATCACCAAAGCATATGCTAAGTGGATCAGCACAAGCCACTTTCACCATTCTAGTTAATATTATTCCAAAACTAAATGTAAATAATTAAGTTGTTGCTACATTTTAATAATTCAATTAAAATTCTTCAACAGTAAGAACTGGAAACTTCCCATTGTGTCATGCTGAACCCATAGGCAGGTGCACAGTTCCCTTCAGTAGGATGAAAATGTGACTACTAAAGTATTTGGAGATTTTTTCTTCTTACTATCTGCTGTCTTAATGTCTTCTTTACAAAGAGTAAATACCTGAAAGGTTTTGTTGTTTTGTTTTTGTTTTTTTTTTTTATTTTGTTTTTCCTGTGACAACTAACAGAAAAGTCTCTCTTGCATGATACTTCAGTCTTTAGATAACTTTAGTGTCACTGCACTAACCTAACTTCGTTATTTCTGGGAGAAACCTGATACCTTGGGACCATGTTATGCCTTGAACATCATTCAAACCTACATAACCTAATAAATTAACTGTAATTATGTATAGTTAACTCTTTACGCATCAGGCTCTGACTGCTGTTCGTGAGGTAGTTTACATACTGATACCCATAAACTTCTCAACCATATGAAGAGTTAAAAAAAGTTATGCAACTCAGTTTTTAACATGGCCACATTTTTCTTTGCTCATCTAGCTTGAAGAAGTCAAAGACAGGTTACAAGTTAAATAACACATGGTATTTTTAATGGTGTACATGAAATTCAACTTAGATAACTACTACAGTCCCATCATTGTAGTATTTTGGTTACTTTTTGTTGTGCTTTTTCAAGGTCTTGACAAAAGAAAAACAAAAAAAATCTCCTTTGTATGGATCTCATATATAAAATAATACCACTAAACAAAATTGATCTGATCTGTGAGAAGGTTAACTGCTTACATGCTGACTTTAAAATGTTAATCCTATATTGAGTAAATACATGTCCTGTAAGAAAAACAGGAGATCTGTGAACAGTTTTTTCCTTTAACAAGCTTCCCTTTTGATGCTGTTTTCCAGGTCTTCACTTTATTCCTTTTGTTTTTCTCTCCTGCTGTTATTTCCAATTGTCTCCATCTTAAACAGAATGGAGTTGTATTTGCCAGAGCCAGCTGACATCCCAAAGGAGACATGTTGCAAAGTTCTGTTTAAAAGTCCGCAAATTGACTATTTGACTCCATAACTCCGCCTGGTTTTGTTGACTGGGGGACCAAGGAGCCCAGGCCTTGAATCCAAATTTGGATTCTGTATGGTGACCTCCTCTGCATTGTCAGCATCGTTAGAAACACCACCCACTGCTATGTTGTGGTACATTTGCTACTTGGTATCAGTCCCTAATTAATGACTGTAGGAGAGGGAAGAGGTATTCTAAAATGCTCTTTAAAGCATTTGAGTCTTTTAATGAAAACAGAAAGCTTGTGATTTTTTTTAATAGAGTATCTACCCATGTAAGTTGTCTTTTATACATAATAAAATATTTATATGGAATTTACAAGTCTTGGTTCTTATTTCAATTGCTATTTATAATTGCATTTTTCTTTAGCATTTTGAAGTTTTTAACTTGTTGGATAGAAATAGAAGATTTGCTGATACATGAGAAATTGCTAGTTCAGCTAGAAAAGACCGTGATTCATGCAAGAATTTAACATGTGTGGTGACCTGGCTGATAGAGAGGTAATACTATATTAGAAGTATTGTCAGTCTGGAGGAAAGTTAGTGGCAGAATTACCCAAGAAATACCCTAGGGCTGACTCTAATGTAATGTTTTGATTAGTGATAATTAATACATAGAAGACTATTAATGATATAAAGAGTGAAGGCATGAAGTACAACCCAAAACACACCAAAACCAACAGGACCCAGAATATAATAGAGATGGGATGGCATTTAACAGCAAAAGACATGTATGTAGGGAATAAAAATAATTTATTTGAGGAGCTCACCAGCTGAAAATGAAATGTGTAGAGAAAGACCTAAGTTAATCACAGATGACTGGAAACTGCAAGTGTTAGAGTAATGAAAAACAAAGCCTAGAATGTACGAGATAAAGTATCTTTGCTAGAGATGAGGAAAGAGTAGCTGAGACTGCATCTTAAGTGCTATGTACAGTGTTACATGTTCAAGAAAGGTGGAGTTTGGTTTGAACAGGTAACGCAACTACTAAGATTATCAAGTTAATAAAGTTGCTGTGAGTAGAGAAAGCACTGACATTTGTTTTTAGTCTACCTCCCTGTGCTTTAAGCAGACCACAGGCTTGTAGATCAAGACCTGTCACTTCTGGAAGCTATGTAACCGTGGGCTTAGGAGAACTTGTTTGGACACAGAATTGTGCTGACTTGATTACACTCCTTCCAGTCAGATTAGATACCAGGTATTGGAAACATGGATGTCTGCATGAGACTAAATGTATCCTCAAAAATATTCATGTACTTAGCCTAGAAAAGTGGATATTGAGGGAGGAGAGAAATGTTTTTTTCATACCTTCAGGTTGAGGTGTTTACTCCTTAAGGTAAAGGGCAATACTTGCTCAAAATGAGTATCACCAGCTAACAATGAATAAACTGGAGTAGTACATTTTGAGCCATCAGAAGAATGAGAGTTTAAGGTGATGATTTAATTAGAATAGCTGTATTCTGTCCTCTGTTTTTCTTTACTCTTTTGTAGGTTCATAGGTGTGGAAGGAATCTATGCGGTCAGTGGCGAAGTAGTCACAACTTCAGCAAAATTGTATGCCGGGGTGAATGAAACTTACGAAGTCCTTATACCCCAGCACTGATGTGGCTCTGAAGATGGAGAGTAGTATGCCTGGCAGAAGTAGGCACTGGGGGAGTGTTCGGAGATAGAAACAGAAGAGTTGTGCTGTCAAGCAGAAGACTGGGGACGAGGAATAGCAGAGTGCAGGCTTTGGGGCTATACCAAATAATCTCTGGAAGAATACATGAGATCAAAGTTAAGGAACTGGAGAGGTAAGCTGTGGGCTGCATGTAGGGAAGGGGAGGAGGAGAGAAATGAAATGAAGCAAGAGCAGTTTGGGCACCTAGTATGTGTGCTATTTGCACCACATACCAAAAAAACCCCGCCGTTACTGGTTTTGATCATTGAGGTGTTTCAGTCATAGAATCATAGAATAGTTAGGGCTGGAAAGGACCTCTGGATGGCATTCCTTCCCTCCAGTGTATCAACTGAACCGCGCAGCTTGGTGTCATCGGCAAACTTGCTGAGGGTGCACTCAATCCCACTGTCCATGTCAGCGACAAAGATGTTGAACAAGACCGGTCCCTGAGGGACACCACTCGTTACTGGTCTCCAGCCGGACATTGAGCCATTGACCACAACTCTTTGTGTGTGGCCATCCAGCCAGTTCTTTATCCACCGAGTGGTCCATCCATCAAATTGATGTCTCTCCAATTTAGAGACAAGGATGTCATGTGGGGCGGTGTCAAATGCTTTGCACAAGTCCAGGTAGATGATGTCAGCTGCTCTGCCCTTGTCCATCAGTTCTGTAGCCCCATCATAGAAGGCCACCAAATTGGTCAGGCAGGATTTCCCCTTAGTGAAGCCATGCTGGCTGTCACCAAGCACCTTGTTGATTTTCATGTGCCTTAGCATGCCTTCCAGGAGAATCTGCTCCAAGATTTTGCCAGGCACAGAGGTGAGACTGACTGGTCTGTAATTCCCCGGGTCATCCATTTTCCCCTTCTTGAAAATGGGGGTTATATTTCCCTTTTTCCAGTTATCGGGAACTTCACCTGACTGCCATGATTTTTCAAATATGATGGACTGAGGTGCAAAGTTGCTCAGTATGTCTTATACATATATAAGTTTCCATCTAAATTTTACACCAGCAGTAGTAAATAGTGAAGTTAGATGGAAAGGTATGAATAGTAACTATTCTAATACATGATCATTTTTTAAATATGTATATACCTATGCACAACCCCTACCCCCATATTCTACCCTCTGTGATTAATACACATCTTTTTCCCTTTTCAAAGAGTAAACACAGAACATAATTAAATGCATACCCAGAGCTTGAAAATGTTATTTATTCCTGTTCATTCCTAATTAAAAAACACCCAAAATATGTAGATGTCATGTAGGTATTTTAAAAGCAATTTCATCTGAGGGTTTTCCCTATGATTTCCAAGGTAATTTTCTTCAAGGAAACCACTGAAAATGCTGTACTGTGGTTTGTTACCACTAGGTGGTGCTGCCATTATGGTATTCCTTAGAAGTCTGTGATTATGTATCTATGGAAAAAAAATATACACACAGCTAAAAGCAGTCTACTTACTATAGCTTCTTAAAGATAGAGGAGCTTTGTTATACTTGTGTGACAAGGAATCTTAGCCCTCATATGTGTAAATGTGCTCAACTTGTGTTCATGTTTTGCATATGCTTGCTTAAAATGGGAATTTGTACCTAACTAATAGTGCAGTATGCCCAAAGTTTCCTGTAGGCCTCGTTAGAGAAGGTCCAGCCTTTGCAGTCTTGTATGCTTTCTACTGAGAATTGTATTTTACACTGTTAATCATTGAGCTTTGATACCCTACCTGTTATCATGCAAAATTCAAAATAAAGAGAGTTCCTACTCTGAAGAGATTAAGGACTAGGTGAGATAAGAGTAAAGAAGGCAGGAGGTAATTGAGGGAAATATTTTGGGTGTTTCAGCCACTATCGTAAATTACAGTCTTGCATTGCAGAAAACAGCAGATCTTTTGACACCATTTAAAGGGGATTGTACCAATCTTTGCAATGTTTGAAACATGCTGTTTGCTGCCAAGTGTTTATCTAGTTGGGAAACATTTAAATTGAATCGTAAACTGGCTGAAGTAGCCCATTTCACTCATGAAAAGAAGGCCCGAGTCAGGGATTTTGGAAGGAGGTATCTAAGGGATAAACAACTGCAAGAGAGTATTTACCACTGCAGCTAAGGTTCAGGATAAGATCTGCTTTTACCATTTTATTGTTTCAAATCAGTCAGATGTAGAATTGGTGTCTAAACCAGAAGCTAAAAGGCGTGAGCATATTGTTCAGATTTCATTGTTTCTATATTTCTGAGAGGAAAAAAATTAAATATTTGGAAGTATGAACAAAACATTTTTCTTAGGGGCAAAAAGTTGTGTGCTCAAGTTAATTGTATTTAGTTTTTGTTTTTTCAGAAAGCAAGTGGCTCAGGCAGCTTCAAGAAACCAGTAAGCAATAGTAACTGTTTGGGGTACATTTAAAGTAGGCTGAATTTCTTTGTCTGTAATATGCAAGTAAGGATTTCCATTCTGGTTGCCACTTGTCAGCTGAACTGCAGCAGGTTTGTAAGGGCTCTTAGCTCCTGACAAGTACAAAATAATGCAAGGAACCTACAATAGAGAATAGTTAAGTAAAGTTATACTGTCACAAGCCAGGAGTATGCACACAGGCAATACCAAACTGACTTGATAAACATTATCTTAATAATTTTTCTGAATATTAACTTTCATGGGAGGTTTGCAGATTTGTAAGTGTATGCTGGGACACAAACTGGAGAAGGTATAATAATATGAGATAAAGCGATGCCCATATGAAAGTATTTCATATATGACATCATAAAAAAAAAAATCAACCCATCCAGAAGCAAGTAATTCTTTGCAAGTGGTCTGAAAAATAGTATCATATGGTATCTTTCCCAATAGGAAATGTTGTTCTTAAAATTTGAATTCATGCCAATATATGAACACCATTTTTCCGGAGGTGTTTATGGGAAATGTTAAAGAACTGTAGTCAGAGAACATGACTAACATGTTAAAGGAACTGTTGATGCATATATAATACATCAGCATTGACACATCCACTATTACTACCATCTAGTCTTAAACATAAAAGAAGTTTATTTAGGATGAAAGAAATTGTAACATGGAAAATCTAGGGTGTGCAATTAAGTAAAACACCTAGAATGTACATTAAAGATGCTAATTTATGCTAGAAGAGAAATCTTTCACCTGGGTCTAAGGGAAGCTGGTAAGAACTTTCCTCAAATAAGGTATTAAGTAATAGGATAAGATTTCAGCCATGTTTACATTAGCAGCTAGGTTCCTTTTGGCAATTGATTGTCTGCTGTTTGTTTTTCTAACTGAATTAGTGCTTACTTTGATTTCCAATTGCAGGTGCAGACAAAGAGAAGATGAAAAAACATTTAGAAAAGTCTCTTTTACTCTCAATAGCTCAGCTTCTGAAGGTCTTTGTCTCCTTTATGCAGATAGGGGTAGTCACTTGAATTTGCTTGAAGATTCCCAAATACTGCAGAGATAGTCTCATCCCAAATGGAAAAAGGAAGCATTAACTTTTGGTGATTAGAGAATCAAAAAGGTATGTAGGGAATTAGTTACATATATCTGTAAGGGTTTCATTAAAAATTTTCATGTGAGATAACACTGAAAAGGCAATCAGTATTTCACTATGACATAGATGCTTCTTTTGTGTTATTGTCACAAACTCATATATAATAAATGCATAGTAATCATGACAACTATCAAATACCAGTTATTTTCAGATGAAGTTGTATGAAAAAATATACCATTCTTTTCACATAGAATTAAGACACAAATTCATCCAAGAAATAATCATTTACTGGTTGCTGATCATCTCAATTTTGCAGTATAAATGGCTATCAGTGCCAGAAAGTGGGGGCAATTATTTGTTTCACTTCTAGCCTACATAGTATTTTAAAGGGGGTTACAAAAAATCCCAACTTTGCAGATTTTTAGGACCTTAGTCTCAGCTGGAAAACTTTCTGATTAATGATTGATCACTTTCTCACCAGGTAAGACTGCATTGGCTACATTTACCCATTGATTGGCTCTGAGAGATTATGTCAATTCAAGAAAGATCTAATTCAGCCATATTACTCCACCAAAGCAAATGTCTCTAATGCTTGAGTGTTTGCAAGTCTGTCATTTTCAGGCCCACAGTGAACAGTTTCAGTGTGTTGAATTCCATTTTCTGAATCTTCTGTTGTTGGGTCATCATGATTGATAAGGCATTATTGGCAAATGTATACTAAAGATTAATGTTTTAATCTGTCATGACACTGGGCCACATGTGAATGCATGAGTAGTATTTGTAATGACTGCAATTATATTGATGTATGATTACATATTATGATATTTATAATTGTTTTTGGTGTTGGCATTTTACTATCTAATAGTATGGGAGAGGGAGACAGCAAATGAAATTTATGCAACTATTTGGCTAGAAACAAATTACAACTAGAACACTCTCCTCGTTCTCCTGACACAGAAAATAGTGTTCTATTGATGAGTTTCTGCCACAAGAAATGATATCAATTGTTAATTCAGGTAAAATAAATTCAATTACAGAAAAATGTATAATGGATGGGGAATAATCTTAGGTTTCCCAAATGACAGGTTAGGTCAGGCCTCTAAGGCTTTTTTTATTGCACTGGCTGCTTTTAAGTGGAGAAAATCTTTCCTAGGCCTTTGCTTCACTTTTACGACTAGTACTTCAAATGCATAGTGTTAGAAAAAAGTTAGAGGAGAAAAAAGTTTGTTATTTTTTAGATGTGTTTAAGATAATGCAACAAGTGGAGGCACCCTCCAATCCTTTATTGGTTATCAATATGTACTTGGCTTCTAAAGTTTGGAAGTCTGTTGCTGGACAGTTTGAGTGGAAAAGTGATGTTTAGCCTCAAGACCAGGGAAAAATGAGAATCCATTATTTATTTCTCAGGGATTTGTAATAGAGTATTTTTTTAAGGGGATGTCAAATCAGAAGAGGGTAAGAACTGCTAGCTAGAAGGTGCTTTCCTTCGTTGGTTCCTGTGATTCTTGTTGGTGTTTTGAGTGACTAGTGGTTTTGTAACCAAGAAGCCAAGAGAAACAGGTATCAAAGACAGTGATGGTTCAGTATATTCTTCATGGCCAGCTGGAGATTTCTAAAGGATGGATAGGAACCTGTAATTGCAAGAAAATGGGGGACTAGTTACTTGTGTCCAAACAACTCTCTACCCTTCTGTATCAATGAGCAGGAGCATGTAAAATGTATTTTAAAAAAAGAGCATAGTTGATCTTATCAGCTTTATCAAAACATGGCTGGGGCACAGTTTCATCCCATATGGTATAAAACCAAAAACTGTGTGTGTTTGTGTTTTCTGATATTTACATAAGAAGAAGAAGACTTGTTTGCTCTGAGTTTTGTGGATAGGATAATTAAATACCTCCAGGAAACATTTAATTAATGGCAAAGTCAAACCTTCTTGTTCTCCCCTCCTTGAAAAAAAGCTTCCCATATATAATGGGAATATCTAATTTCAGTAGAAAACAGTTGTGTGGTTTCTAGGATTATCACACCTCTATGAGACTATGAGTAGATGTAGTACTGGTTGAATTTGCAACTGACTTGTGCCTATTTGTTGCTCTGCCTGGGGAATGAAGGATTGCTTGCCTTGCTAGATGTTTACCATGTTAGGGAGGGATATTGCTTGGTTTTTTGCCTTTTTTTTTTGTTTTGTTTTAATCTAGGATATCAGAAGATCAATGAACATCCATCCATCCAAAGGATAATGCTATGCAAGTTTATTCTTACCTAGGCAGTTTGCCTTTTGTTACTGTGATGGAGCTCACTAGTGTTATGTAGATTGAAAATACTGTTCTCTTACAACAGTTTCCTTTGGGGTTTCTGTTTGCTCCCAGTTTCTGGAAGCTAAATATGAGTAGCTATAGTATGCTGTGGCTTATTTTCTCGTATCTATTTGGGGGTATGAAGTCTACTGTTACTCACAGTAGTGTGACAACAGTATTGGAGCTATAAACAAGCTAATGACCTCAGTAAAGCGGGAGTAGATGAGGAGCAGTCTATTCCAAATCCCCAGAGCTAGAATATAGAACTACTACATCCTTTGGATTTGAAAATATCAGATCACAAATGATGGGGTTTTTTCTTTTTTTGCAATGAAACATTCAGCATTTCTAAAATCATAACATTGGTCTAAATGGTACCTGGGAAAAAAATGTATAAATGCAAAATCCATGCAAACAGAGTAGGACAAATTAAATGAGTTTGATTTTGCCTTTTTTTTTTAAGGATAAACATATTTTTGATTTTTATTTTAAACAAAATATCTGCAATAAGCAATTTCTCTTTCATGCCTCCCTTTGCATATAAAATGGAATTAATGGATGGAAAAATGTCCTTTTGAGAAAGTGAAGGGTAACATTAGCAGTCCTAGCTGGAAATTATAGCTCGTTTTCACAGTTTCAGGTTCCTGTTTTAAGCAAGAATTTGACATATATATTCATGCAGGTTCCTTAGTTTCCTCAAAGGTATGAGATGGTGACAGGGAATGGAAATATCAAAGCCTTTCCTTCATGGAATGTTGAGTTCCTCTATTTGGGTATTTCTGGATATTTTCAGTTTTTTATTTAGGCTGCAATGGGTATGTGAGCATTTCAACCCATGAAACTTTATTCCTTTATAGGGAATGATCTTTGAGAAGCTTAGCAAACTTCCAACTAGTCAAACTGTCCCATTTGCTAAAGTGTTGGAGGCTCAGGCTTCCAGCACAGAAACATCCAGGTTTAGTTCCCACACTCAGCCCAGTTTTGTGCACAAAAGGTTTGCTCTGGTTTCTCAGAGTTAGCTGGTTAAATGAGGTTAGTCTGGCACCAAGCACTCACTCATTTTGGACCGGGTAACTTCAATTCCATGAAACATCTGCCTGGATGTGGAGATACGAGATTATCTCCTCATGTTATGCTGCTCTTTCTTGTCTTTCTCATAACTGTACTGTATTTTGGTCAAGTTTTTGCCATATATCAAACCAGGTGATGCTGATTGTGATCACACTGCCCTGTCACTCTTAGGCAGGAAAGAGATCCTCACTCCTCTTAAACTGCCAGGGTCGTACCTGCAGTATGCAATAGCTGTATGAAGTCTGCATGAAGGGATACAAATGGGGAGAACAAAACATTTAAGGATTGTATACAGTAAAGACCCCATGTCTCACATGGAAAGAGCTTTCTGCTCCTATTCAACAAATTAGGAGCAGTGGGGGGAAGAGTAGGAGGTTCTCTGGTTGTTTTCCAAGAAGCACATTTTTGCAATATAGAAACTAAATTTATCTATAACTCCTTATTCAAGAGAGAAGTCTCACGTCTCATGCCTTCCCTTAGCTTATGATTCAATGTCATTATCATCAGAGTATGCAGAGAAAGAAATGACCGTGAATAATGCCTTAAAATAAATAAAAATGGTAAAGCAATGGCTTGATTCCCCCTGCCCTTCTTTGGCTTTGAGTTTTTGGGATTTAGATTTTAATGTAATTCCAAAAAGTGGAGTTTTGAGAGAACATCCTGTATTGCAAAATTCCTAGTAAAGATGTTGAGATGCTGCAGCATTTCCAGACTTGTTCTGCTTTCAAAGTAGTAGAAATAGTATGCATTTCTGCCACTTGTATAGTGATATGTTAAGAAAAAAAATTCACAGCTTAAGATATTTAGTTGGTTTATCTGGTAGAGTTGTCTTGATGTTTATCTTTATTCCTTCTAGCATGCTGATGACCATGATATCTGCATACACAAGGCTGTGACTCATTAAACTGTAGAGGATGCTTACTTTAAGACTCTGTTTTCTGCTAAATTTGGCAGGGACATTTCAAGATGTCAGAGCATTGAATGACATATAAAAATGTCACATAATCTGTGAAGAGAAATCCACCAATTCTAACTTTAAATTCTAAGTCTTCATAGTATTCTGTTGTCAACCATGGATCAAATATTTGTCTATGAATCAAAGAAAACTGGTAATTTACCGCAGTTGGAAACAGCTAAGTATCTGCAGCAACTGAGTACAGTATGTAGAATTTCGGTAAGAATCCAGGTTGGAACAGCAGAGTTCACATTAAAAACATTTCAATGGGATCATCTCTTTTCTTTCAGAATGGCTTACGCTTTATGCCTGGTTTTCTAAGCGTGTACTATCTCTGTGCATGGACTCACATTATTTTTAAGGTGGAATATTTGAGTGATGCAGCTGGCATTTAGATAATATGATTCCAATGAATGAAGGCTTACATACAGTAGACATCTACTTTAGTTCTCTTGAGCTTGTTCTTTTTTTTCAAGTAGAAATTAACTGTTTGGTGTGCACCAAATAGTGATATAAAAAATAAAGCACATGCATAATTTGAAAAGTTCCATAAAGTCACTATAATATCCAGAAGCTTTGTTTTCCTATATAGTATTTGTTTACTACAAAATCAAACATGCATATTGATTTACTGTTACTAAAAACTAATGACTCCGAGAGTGGCTTTTGTAAAGATGTACAGTTAACTTTTAAATTACTTACTGTGGTCTTTAACTCTTTTGAGGTCTTTATTATTTTTTGCTGAATCTTTATGAAAGTCCTTAGCAGAGTTGATAAAGCCAGCTGGTGGAAATGACTGAGTTGTTACAGGTAAGAATCATTTTCTTGCATTTGTCTGTATTGTATTTTCTGCAGTTCAGTCCTTGGCCAGGACAGGACTATTATAAATATCAGCAATTACTAATCAGAATAGATTGTAGTAATGATGTATTTAATGCATGCAGAAAACTGCACTTTCCCAAACTGGAAAGTTACCCTCCTCAGTTTGTGAAAAAACAAATCCAAAATGCCAAAAGCAATGACTTGGATCATTCTGAAAACAGAACAAATCTGAAGTGGTAGCAAGCTTACAGTAAATGAAGGTGAGAGAGCTCTTGCAAATAATTCGTGGTGAATGAGTCACTCAATTTAGTTACCAAGGAAATGAAATGAGGCTATTGGTAAAGGGAACTGAGGAAGACGACATTGCAATTGGGGCAGCTGTTACCATTGCATAAGCCTACCTCGTATGGTCATCGCTAATGTAAAACCTTGCAGAGGTATGTTTTATGGAAGATGTTTTCTGGGTTTCACTAATATTTTGTGCTGTTAATGTTGTATTCTCATCATGTGATAATACTTTGTGTGACTCCACCAGATTGGCCATGTGTTCAACCACAGCTATAGACAAGGATAAACTGGCCCATCTATTAGAGTACATAATTAATTACAGTTTTTAAGATATTTTAATAAATAGTAGGCTTCTGGAATCCTCACAATAATTTCACAATAATTTCCAAAGCAAGCACATGATTCACTTCCCTGCTCCCTTTTTGACCGATAATGAAAAACTAAAAAAAGCTGTTTCATATGTGCCAAGTCCCTTTTTTTCTCATGATAGGGCACATAGAAATTTTGGTAAGTTTCTTGGAAATATACTGTGCAAAGCTTATGGAATATTCCCATTCATTACTCCATTTATTAGTGAAAGGTAACTAAACTGTCACAAATTCAGAGCCTAAGATGAATTTGTGGTTGCCAAATCCACATAAGCAGAAAACAGAAAATAGCTACATGCATCTGAACCAAGCATCCAAAATGTTACAGGGATGGAAAAGAAATTTGATCTGAATTTTGAAATTCAGTGAAAAATCTGACAAAGTTTTGAAATCCCAGTAAGATATATCATGAACATGACAGTTCTCAGGAATTCCAGCAAGCTTGCAGTCAAGGAACAGTCCTCAGTGAGGCAGGTGACAAAGTTTTAATGTGATTTTATTTCTTGCCTCTTCCCCCTTTCTGAGTGAGTGAGTCTTTATGAACTAAACTAGCAAAGCTTTCAGATTTGGAGCCTTCCCTGTGCTAGTGTATTGGTATTTTTTTTGTATTTGGGACACAAGAAGAGTCACTTAGGTATCATGGTCTATTTCTCGTAACAAGGTAGTGAAGAGATTCAATAGAGGTTGTGGATTTGATAGATGTGGGAGAGAACACCTTCTGGATGCTTTTTTAAAATCAAAGTTGCTTCATCTTGCTTTTGTTTTAAGGAACAGAACATATAACCAGAAAGGTTTTATCTATTATATTTATGTCAAAAACTTCCAAATCTTCCCAGCACCTTTCCTTTCTGTGGGAGAGCAAAGGGAGTTTGCATAAGATCAGTCAGTCAGACAGGAATGCTAAGACAAACTAGATAATGATGAAACTGATGTCTGAATTACCCTTGATAATGTTATCAGGTTAAAAGGAAGGATACCAGTCACCTTTGCAAGCTCTTCCTGAATGTTTTCCCAGAAGAATGCGTGATCTGCAGTGGAAAGAAAAAAGTAAGCAAGCTGTTTAAGGCAAGTGAGGTTGGAATCAGAACTATTAGATAATAGATTTTGTGTAATTTATTGTTTTCAGTATATTGGATTTACTGTCTTAAATTAATCTTTCAACTGACATCACTGTAACAAGGGAGTGGTACTGGCAGTAAGTGAGGCCAACTGACTTAGGTATTAGGGCTAGAGTCAAGAGTCAGAACAAGACTATGGATCCAAACAAAAGGCTCTGGGGTTGTTTAAAGTGTGAAGGTCAGCTTTTAATACAAACAAGAAACCCTGATCAAAATAGATCCCATAGAAATTGACAAATTATTTACAAGAGCTATCTCACCTTTATTTACTGTTAGCTCACTTTCACATCAGATTTGTTACATTTTCAAAATGAGCCAACTCTTTTTGCTTTTTTGTGTGCTTTATATTAGTAGTCAGGGAGGAGGGCTTTAGAGTTCTTTGGATAATTTATAGCAAATAATATTATTTAGTGTGAATAGAAAAAAATTAAAGAATTCAATAATAATATATTTACCATAAATATCTCTAATTAACTAAGTTCTAGTAAATGTTTTAAAACCACAATAATTATATAAACTTTGGATCAGAACTCCTTGCTGAAAAAAAACAAAAGTCAATCATCTTAATGAGTTTTAGTTTTCTCTGTAACTGGAACAGAGAATATATATTGCTAGTTCCATGAATGGCAGAGACCATTACTATTGTAATTTTAAAATTATTTTATTTAAATGAATTAGATTATGCATGAAAGATTTTGCCACTGGTAGCTGGGAAGCAGATACATTTTGATTATCACAACTTGTAGCTCTAAACACACAAGCTACAATAAAAACATTCAAGTCAAAAAATAAAGATTGACTGAATTGCTGAAATCACTCTTTAAAAAATAAATTTTTAGACCAATTTAAATTAGGAAAGCTTCCTGCTCCCAGATGGACAAGCTTGGCAAAGCAGGAATAATAATAAAACAAAATAAAAAATAGATGCAACAACAATTCGTGCAATTGAAGGAATAAATTGTATCTAAGCTACAAAATAATAGACTCCAACCCAGCAAGCACTTAAACATATGCTTAATTGTAAACAGGTGAGCAGTTCATCTCTAACAAGACAACTGAGAAGTGAAATGCACTTATGGGGCTGAGGCCTAAGATAGATATTATTGGCTAGAGTATTAATCAATTAAGAAAGCGATAATAAATCGATGGTAGTAAGTACATTTTAAATACGTGTGATTGTGCTATTGCTTTTGACGAATTTGTTTCTTTCCTATGAAATGTGTAAATGAATCATACTGTCACCAAGGAGATGGACTACAGGTAGGTTTCATAATCCACCTGGCTGCCTTAACTTTAGCTATTTAAGCTCTTCATCTGATCTCCCTCTGTAGCTAAGGGGGAAGGGAGACGTTTCTGTTTTACCTCTTATCATCCTTCTGAGGTACTGATTTATTTCTTCACAATAAAAGGAGCCTAAGTGACTCAGCTTAAATGAAACTAGATAAATATAGCTGGTTATAGCCAGGTGCAATGAAACATCCTAGGGTCTATTGTTAGAATGAGACAACTATGTGCATACTGAACTTTATGACTCTCATTGCAGGAGATCGATATAAGCACCAAGTTATATTTCTTTTAATTTCAGTTGTGCAGAATCTGTTGCCAACAGCTCTTAAAAGGTTAGACAGCTCTGCCTCACAATGACACAAAGTAGAAAGGAATATAAGCATTAGGTTTCTAGCCTGCATGTTTGTCATTATGTGCAGTCCTGTTGGCATACATGTATATGATTATAAAAAAATGTAAGCTTGAGATCAGAATAACGGTGGGTGCATATGAGACTGAAACCTCTCCTGTCCACCAAGCAACAGCTTTCAGCATTTGTCACCGGGCTAAAATGGCTTATATGTTCATCCAAATGCAGAGTCACTTACATATGTGGTGTTCACTGGGTCATGCTAGGGGAGTACCTTTTGCAACATACCTGGAGCCCTGCACAGGCTTTGCAGCTTTAGTGCCAATCCAGTCAAGCACAGAAATAACTGGGAAATTACTCATGTTCACTGTTAATCCCAGCTTTTAAAATGTATACAGTTTGTCATCATTTTTCATTGTGGTGAATGTGTGTGTCTGGCCACTTCTGTTTCACAATTGTCCAGTATTTGCCATGGACTCTCTTTTCAGTGCATGTGCTGCAGCTGTTCACTTGTCACTTGAAAGGACGTAATCATACAAAAATCCCTTCAAAACCAGTTTCACTGAAGAAGAGACCTAAGCAGGAGAAACAAATATATGAGGTAAGATGGAGAGGGATGTGTTCTGACCCTGAAACATCTGCTCTTTTAAAGGAGTAAGAAACAAAGACAGTAGGATATTAATTATGTTTCCAGATCATACAGAGCAGTGAGATGCTGCGAAATTATAGATGTTACTGGACAAGAGAAGTAATATAAATAATACCTAATAAGGCTGAAACTACAGGCAAAATGGGACATATGGGACAAATACACAGTTGTGTACCTGCAGAAACCACCCAGAAATACGAATACTAAATGTAAAGCCAGAAAGGAATTGAATAAAACTTGCAGTTTGCAATGCAGTGTGGCATCACGGGTATGCACACGCTTTAGTCTGAATGTCTTACATCACTGCACTTTTCTCATATACAACTGAAGCACATGCCTAAATGTTTTATTAAATAGGAGCAGTATGTCTGCTAACATAATTGAAGTATAGCATAGGTTTAAACCGATTTCTGAATGAGGGCTTTTGTCATTTAAAAAGAAAAAAAAAAAAGCCATTGTCATAACAGGCAAGAAATGTAGAGCACTATCTCACAAAGCTTCACAAAGAGGTGTTGACAGGTTCTCTGCCCACAGTTTCTAAGGGGTCTGGCAAGACAATTGGTTTTTATTCCAAGTTCTGAATGAATAGAAATAGTAGTGAAGCAGAAATGGGAAACAACATATGAAATATATGATGAAAAATCTGGCCTAGCTCTCCCAAGTAATGCTCATCAACATTTTTTTTTGTTGCTGAGATAGCAGTAGTGCTACACTACTGACTGTATGTGTGAAACTCTGGAAATAACATCTTCGTGTGGCAAAATAAAGACGGAGTGAAATCATCTGGGAACACAGGTAGGTTTTGGTAATATCTTTCAATTCAAATAGGTGTAAGAAATGCAAGTCTCCATCTTAAACAAAAGCAAATGCAAGTTCCTTAAATACCTAAATTGTCTGCAGAGCACTGGTCTGGTTGTTACCATACTGTATGTACACAGCGAGTAAGATGAGTGTGCAGAAGCAGGCTAGGAAGGAAGCTTTCCTACCACTTGACTGTGCCCCAGTGTGTGAAAGTGATAGAAGCTTTGGGGCTGAGTATTAGGATGTGAATAACAGTGCTGAGGTGGCTTCCTGTATGCCAGGAAACAGAACTTTTTCCTGTCTTGTAGAGCAAGAGTTTCACAAAAGGTATTTCTACAGCTGGTCTAGTATAGCATGGCTGAAGCCCTGTTGGGATGAAAGTGGTGGCATAACTGCAGTGTACACAGTCAGGAAGTCCAGGCTCACAGAAGGGGGATGGGACAAGCAAGGGGCAGGTAGCATATTTGGACCAGGAGCAACAACACAGATGAGACACAGCTGAAGGATAACAGACAGGTAGCAGGAATTCAGGGGAAGTTAGGCATATCAAGCACTCTGTGCAATCACTATTGGTTTTCTTCTGGTAAATGTCCTTAGTTACAGTTAATGTCTTCTGCAGTGGAAACACACAAGGAAAGCATCTCACTCTACTTGTCACCATTATTCCCTAACTGAAACAGCCATTGTGTGAAGCCATTCTGAATCAAAATTGTTGTGCAAATCCAATAACACATAACAAGCCACTAGCACAGCACATTCAAGGTTCTGTGCAAACAGTAACTAATCAGCCATCCTAATGTTCCTGTGAGACAAGCTGGTCAATTGGTTATTCCAGTTTTCAAAGATACAGGGCTGAGGTGAATCACAGAATTGTAGAATCAACCAGGTTGGAAAAGACCTTTAAGATCATCAAGTCCAACCGTTACCCCAGGACTGCCAAGACCCTAAACCATGTCACTGAGGGCATCATCTACATGGTTTTTGAATCCTTTCAGGGATGGTGATTCCACCACTTCTGGGGGCAGCCTGTTCCAATACCTGATCACCCTCTCTGTGAGGAAATATTTCCTTATATCCAATCTAAACCTCTCCTGGTGCAGCCTGAGGCCATTACCTCTCATCCTGTCGCTTGTTACTTGGGAGACCAATCCCCACTTCACTACAACCTCCTTTCAGGCAGTTGTTGAAAGTGATCAGGTCCCCCTTGAGCCTTCTGTTTTCCAGACTAAACAACTCCAGTTCACTCAGCCTTTCCTCATAAGACTTGTGCTCCAGGCCCTTCACCAGCTTTGCTGTCCTTTTCTGGACCCACTCCAGCACTCTAGCACCTCAATGCCTTTCTTCTAGTGAGGGGCCCAGAAATGAACACAGTATTCTAGCTGCGGCCTCACCAGTGCCCCGTACAGGGGGATATCACTTCTCTTGCCCTGCTGGCTACGTTATTTCTGATACAGGCATTTACCTGGATCCTATAATAGGCCGGTTAAGCCTGCTTTTTAAAAGCAGGGGTTTGATTTACTTACAGATACCATGCCCCCAGGAACCTAAATTTCTCACTTTGTAAATATCCTGCTGTGGCAGGACCCTCGGCATCCTTCCCTCCATCCCACCTCCTTCCTTGCCATGCTTCCCAGCTTTTCTCACCTCACTACTGCCTCTGACACAGGCTGCGGCGGGAGACCCCGCAGAAGCAGCAGTCAGGGAGGTGGAAATCTTTCAAAGACCTGCTCGCACTTCTTCCCCCTGCCAGCAGCAGCCCCGCACCTCTGGTCCCCAGCTGTGCTGCTGCTGCCCTCTCCCGGTGCGACGCGCGGCCCCTTTAAGGTGGCGCGGGGCGCGCTGTCCCTTTAAAAGGCGGCGGGCGGGCGGGAGGCGGTGGTGGCGGTGGTTGGGGCCATTGCTCTGCCCGCCGGGTTTTCCCCCCCTTCCTGCGGGCTCTGCCGTTCGTTAGTCTGCCTGTTAAAAAGAGGAGGCAAGATGGCCGAGCTGGGCAGCAAGGGGGTCACCGCCGGGAAAATCGCCATCAACGTTCAGAAGAAGCTGACTCGGGCGCAGGAGAAGGTAAAGGGAGAAGGGGGGTACCGCCGGCTCCCTAGGATGCGGGGAGCTATGCGGGTACCGGCGATGAAACCTCCCCCCCTGGGAGCTGGCAGCTGCTTTCCCTGCGGATTTAGGGCCCTTTTGCATCTTGAGAACGCGGGATACCGCTGTTCGAGCTGTAGGGGTTTGCCATCTCTCTGCAGAAACATGGCATCGGGTGCAGCTGGGAGAAGGGAGGGAGGACGGAGCGCCGCACGCTTGTTTTGAACATGTAGATGCTTATTGTTTCAGCAGGAGGAGACCTTCTTTACACCGTATGTAGGTTGTGCTTTATGCGGCAGTATCAAGCTGTATTTTGCGATAGTGCTAAAAGATGGTGAGGAAGAGGAGATGGGCACTTGCGTCCTTATCTTCTATCAACATAGCATAATAACCGCTACTTGCTTTACTGACCTTGAACTCCAGATTTTGGAATGCTGGTAAAGTAAAAGCCATACGGCCTTTAAAGACTCTGCTGATGACTGCTGAGGGAGGGGTGTTTTTTGAATCCCAGGAGCCCTTTTGCTGCTCTCCGCCCACCTCTGTGTCAGCAAAAGGTGCCAGGAATATGCAATGGATACTTCTCATGTTCATCTTTCTGGCATGCTGCATCTGATGCCAGATGCCAGCTCTGTGTAGGGATTATCGGACATTTTACGCAGGGACATTGATCAGCTGCTTTTATCTCTGCCACGCTCGTAATGGCTTTCAGTGATTTGCTGTGAGATGACATTGACTGAATAAGGACTGGTGCATTTTTGAGGGAGGGAGGGTAAACAGATCTGCCCCACTGCTGCTCTTGTTCCCTGCGAGTTATCTTTAGCAGCTAGCTTTAATCTTGGAGGTTTGGGGTTGGACACAGTGCTGGCATGAGCCTTGTGCCCATCGCCAGCACTTACAGAATGCTGCTGTGTCAGAATGGCAACCTAAGCTTGCCAGGCCTAATACTGCACATGCTGCTTCCACTAGTTTAAGCTCATTTAATGAAACTGGGAGTGTGATTTGAACTTGCCTGACTGCTTGGTAAGAACCCCAGGTGAAGAGCAGATCCGGTATGGAACTGACTGCAACAACAAGGTCCTGGCTTTGCTGTAAACACTAGAATGAGCATGGCCACGTCTGTGTTTTTTCCCCTTCCTGCGGTTCCAAGAGGGGGCAGGATGGGAAATTTGTCTCTTGGTAACTGGTCTGCCCTGAACTCATCATAGGTGTTAAATTAATTTGGTATTAGCCACCAGATGGCAACCATATTTGTAGTTAATATTAAGGTCAATGGTAAAGGCTGAGCTCCTTGGCCTGCTGACAAAGTTATTGTATTTATGGGTGCAACTTGGAGCCAAGTGTGGCCCGCCAGGCCCTTCCCTTCCTTCTTATGTCAATGCATGCAGGTTCTTTTCATAGGGAGAATTTTCCACAAATTCCTCTCAACTGGAGATCCAGTTCACTTCCTTGCTTATTCCCTGGTGGTGACTGGGAATGTGTGAGCCACGACAGTCGTAATCAAGAGTTTAGCCATGTATTGCAGGTGATTTGTGTGATCTGAAATTGGCTGTGTGTCTCTTTACGTTGAAAAATCACACCTCATTTCCATCAAAGGAGAAAAGGAAAAGAAACCCAAAGCACTTGCTTATTAAGATAACACAAATTCTAGGCCCTTCTGCTATTGTTATACTGACGCAAACAAAATATTCTCAAAAAAGAAAAAAATGGCTTTGCTTGCTTCATCATCTGACTTGCTTCTTCATATGCTTACGGCTTCATCTGTAACATTTACTCTGTAGTGAAGTGTTAGGTATTTTACCCTTGTCTCTCAGGGACAGGTTCGCCAAGTCAAACATATGAATGTTAACTTTCAGCTTGTGAGGAAAGATACAGCTGAATAAGAAGTAACAAGGAAGGCACCGAGGGTTACTGCACTATACTGGTATTAGTCTCGTGGTATTTAGGCTGTGATACTGTGTTTAGCAGGAAGGTTAAACCATGTGTTTGAATGTGAGGATCAGGTGTTTATATAATTAAAATTTAAAAAAAAAGGCAAGCACAGGTATACAGAGGTAGATCTGGGTACACAGCAGCACTTAAAAATGCTGACTGGGATTGAACTTTCCTTTCTGAGGCTTAAAAAATCTGACAGTGTTCCTTTTGTGTATCTTTTTTTCAGTTTGAATCTAGGATAAAAATTCTTCCCTTCAGAGTGATATCTTCCTCCCAACTTGAACCCTGAGGCTTTGACTTCAGCAGTTTCCTTCATAGTGAATTTAAGCCTTGTGTTAAGCAAAGAATGGTGTCTTTTTGTTCAACGCAGATTTCACACTAGAACACTGTATACATGCTTTTTTCCCCTTCTGAGATGGCTATTATGTAAAGTATGTAAGATATTCCTTCAGAAGTGCTGTTTGTTTTGAGCCTTTCAGCAAAACTATTGGCTATTTTTTGAAGACATTTTCTCAATTCCACAGGAAATATGGGGCAGAAGGGTTGACTATGCTGTTTGCAAATGGACTGGCATCCTTTGATCTCTATTCAAAGATAGCTTCAAGTAGAATATTTGGCAATAATTTGCCCATTGTCCAGTGAAATGTATCAAGTAAATTGATGCCTTTGTCCAGAGGAGCCCACCTAGCAGAAAGGACCAGTGCAGCAGTTTTGAACTCATCTGTTATCCTTTGCAGCTCACAATTAGGAGATTTAGGCTGGGAGTCATGCTTCATCTGGTAGTTAGCTGAAGGGTTTTCAGGCTGAGGTGTTGAGCTCTGAACCTGTCATAATTCTAAACTTCCCAAGATTGAGTAATCTTGTAATGGCTCCTGTATCGTGGTGTCCTTGAGAGCGCCTAGTGTTTGCAATGTCTTTTAAACTTTGCCACTAAGGATCTGAAGTTTTTTTTCCTTTATGTCTATAATCCATTATCTCTGTTAAAGTTTGTTTCTTCTGCGTGATCAATTTCTGTCTTATACTTTTGAAATTTTCAGGGATCTCCCCAGTTTCCACAGTTCCTATTTTTATTTATTCTTCTTTTTTTTCTTGAAGAATGTCCTGTTTCTCGATGTGTCAGTCTGCACGTGCACAAACATTTCTGCTTTGAACAAAATTAAAACAGCATCTTGGTGACTTGATGCAATCCTGGTGCAAGGGTGACTCCTCTGCGAGGTTCCAGGAGGGGGCTGAGCTTGGGGAGCAAATGGATTGGGGTTTTGTTGCTTGGCTGGCAGTGAGCATCCTCATTAAAGGATCAAGATCTTTGCTTTCCTCCATCACATTAGACAGAGATTCGGGGTGGAAAGGTGGTATTGGCTGTATAGGCACTGACTGACAAAAAGCATACAGATTAATAGATACGTCTGTGGAGGTGACTTGCAAAGTTGACATTGAAAAGAGAGGTTTTTCCTTGGGAGATTTTTTTCTGTATGTGTGTGTGGAGAGGAGTAGAAGGGGATGAACTCGTTCTTAACATGCCAAAGTTCTGAGTGAGAGTGGGCTTACATATATTAATACATGGTATGGGGAGTTTTACTTTGAACTAGGCCTGGTTGGAGGGGTCTTTGAGCAACCTGGACTAGTAGAAGATGTCCTTGTCCGTAGTAGGGGGTTAGAACTAGGTGATCTTTAAGGTCCCTTTCAATCCAAACCATCTGTGATTTTTTCTTTTCTAGACTTTGAATGTGGAAATTCCTATCCAATAGAAGTGGTGGTCTTCTGTTCTTTTTTTCATTACAAATCTGGGCAAAATGAGAAGTCTGTGTTCTGTGACAGGTATAGGCTGTCATATTAATATTTTTTACTCTGATGTACCAACAAACCAAGGCATCCCCTTTTCTCCCTCTCTGTCCCCAGCCAAAGGGGAATGCCAGGACCTGAAAAATTTTAGCTTGGGCATCCAAATTCCCTTACATTACGGAGTATTATTTAGGTTGTAGATTCTGCCACTCACTTCCCGTGTTGTCATGAATTATCACCTCTGCTTTGTTTCTTGGCTTAACTTAGTTTATCCCACCAATGTTTACCCACATCTATGTTTGCAAAGTTTCCTTGATTAAACCTACCAAAGTTCTGCTCCCGTCTGGCTGCACATTCCAAGGAGGCTGGGCTGTAGCCTCTGTCTCAAAGGACTAGTATGGCCATAGTTATTGGTAGCCAGGCTTTCTGATGCTTATTTCCTGTCCCCTTCAGGGCAAAACCCCCATAAACCCCAAGACCTATATGCAAGTAAACCAAAGGCTTTGCTAAAGAATTTGCAGCCCAGCAAGGAGAAATAACCAAAGACACTGCCCCTGAAAAGGAAGGTGGAGGACTGATTTTGGCAGGCCATTGAAGCCTGATCTCCTAATGCTTTTTCCAGTTAATTTGTCTCATGTAACGATTGTGGTAGCACAGACTGTCTGCTGTCCAGAAAGGATCTTTTCCTCTCCCAGAACCTTTGTTTCTTTCCCCTTGTAATCCCTTGCTGGACAGGAGGATGTTGTGATTTGGGTGGAGTAGGGTTTGCAGAAGGCATGGCTTGCGTTTTGTGTTTGCCCTGATAAGACTTCCCCCACCCCCCCCGTAAGACAGACTCCAATAGTTGGAACATGGCAGGTAGGAACACCTAGAAAGAAATCTCAGCCCTGTTGAAGCAGGTGGGAGTATATAACAATGAGCAGAACCCAGGAACCTTAAACCAAATTTAAATACAAATGTCTTCAGGATTCAGCTGTCAGAGGCTGCCTAATCTGTAGAACTTCTGCAGATGGGGAGGTAGGCTTTACATAAAAAAAATGCTAGGTGGAGGAAGTTCTTTTCTTGAGAAGTATCACATCAACCTACCTCGGAGAAGTTCCTTTTTGGTTTTCCTACTGTCTCTTTAAAGTTTCTATGGATTTTGCTTGGCTTTGCATAGGGTAGGATAAATTGGTGGCAATCTGCCTTGTGCCAGTGAAGTACAAATAGCCTGAAGAGCTGCAGAAGTTAGTTGTTCTCTTGCTGATCTGTCATGAAACTTTCTT